TAATAATAATAATAATAATAATAATAATAATAATAATAATAATAATAATAATAATAATAATAATAATAATAATAATAATGTATTTCCTGCTAATCACAGAGAGCCAGTTTAACCCACACATTTTTGTTACATGAAGCCCCCATTTCATTGATTTAGCTAGTGGTTAATTAAACTGCTATCTATGTATGTGTTTTTAGATGTGATCTGTTCTTAATCTATCTAAACATTTTGAACATTATACATTAGAATCAGGCAATAATCAGTCAGGACTGATCTAAAAAGAACAAGACAACAAATTCTTTGGGCATTAATGTTTTGGTGAGATTGAGGGTTAAAATAGTGTTAAATCCATATAGTAATCTGCATGCCTTAATCTGTTTGTGATCTGTTGTTTGTTCATGCGTGTGCCCATTTTCCAGTATTACTTTGGTTTTAGTTGATTGTGCCTGTAATGGCCGACTCACTGCAGAAAGACGCCTGATTCCAAGCTGCTCCGCCTGGCTACTGTATTGGTTGTCAAACTGAGCGACGAGTTCGCGCCGGGTTTTTATGAGAGGTGCTTTCTATTAAGAGATTTGGTGCGTAAGTCTTTTTGGGTTCCCACTCAGTGACAGCTGAATATCATTTATCAGGACAGCACCATCAAGGGACGTGGTCTGCAGAAGCGCTGACACTGAACTGTTGCCCAGCCAACGGTGTTGCCGTCTGAGCCCGGCTGTGATAGATGGACTGCTCAGGTCGTGGCTGAAAATGCCCAAAATTCCTTCATTATTTTTAGGAGAATAGCAAGAATACTTTCTACAAAGGCAAATCGCAGAGATTGGATGCATGTTTGATACCTCAGACCACCAACAAATTTTAATGATAAAAATAAAAATATGAGAGGTTGTTTCTTGTTTTTGTGACAACCCGGGATTTCTGGTGAAATATCATCATATCTTGGTTTTCCTCATTTTAATCCTTGCGCTCACTTCAAAACTGTTATTTAATTGAACCGATTGCAGAAGAGTGGTGCTTTTGTGATAGGCATAATTACGCTTCATAATTACATTGTGGTGCAGTTTTAATAGTCATCTACTTCAAATTAGTCTGAGGCATTATTTTTATGGTGACTTTCAGTTCCGTTTGGCCCTCTCTCCCAGATCTTTTTCTTCTCTTCCACTTTTTGAAAAAAAACTGACAGGCTGCTCTCACATGAAAATTTGTATGAATGACATGGCAAAATATCATTATTTACTATTTATCTTTTTGTGGTTGTCTTTATGTCTGGAGGATGGTGGTTTGGATCCTGTCTCTGTCAGAGTCTCTGTTGAGCCTCCTGGGCCTCACAAAAAATCATGTGCATGTCTTTTTCCACTCACAAAATGCTATTTTTAAGGGAGGTATGCAAAGACATCACATAGGACTAGCACCATATATATGCACATTGTTTTGTTTTTATTTTTCTAATCTTGTTTTCCATCTGTAAATATCCCAGTGTGCTATCACTTCCGTGGTGCTGCAGTAAGCACAGAGCGGGCCATGAATTACACCACTAATGAGACTTCAAATATGAAATAATGAAGAGACATTGTAAATTTCTGGCACCACGTCGTCTCGCAGTGCTCTCATAGGGCTGTCTAAGAAAATGCCAGGCAAACCCGGATCCATCTGTACACCTGTGACTCCCTCCTGATCGTCTCCACTCAGACTGTCTACTGCTCACCCATCCATTGCTGATAAAAAAGGAGTGGTTAGTTCTCAGCCAGAGCCCTGATGGGATATGTGAACTGATGCACATTTTATTCACCGGTTTTATAATCCAGTCGTTTCTTTTTCCCTTTGCAGTAAACATTCTGTAAACCTAAAGAAATAGTTATTGGCTTCTTTTTTGTATTGAGCAGAGCATTTCTGCTCTGTTAATGATTTCAGACCCCACCAAATAAAACTGATTAACTTCTTAATAACCAGTTAACGTTGTGAGAAAGGTTGTATGAATTTAAAACCATGAGATTTTCCCATCATTGTGAAACTAATTAGCTTTGTGTGGTGCAAAAACATGTTTTTTTCACACTGATTCTGTGAGAATCCCGCTTGATCATCGCTGAGGTAATTAGTTTACGAAATCACCTACCAAGTAACGGCTAATGAAGAGTCGCTAACAGGGTCATGGAAAGCATTCTTTAATTGGTGATAATGGCTCTGGACACATAATACAGTGGCACAGAGTAACTTTTGAAGGCCTTTAATTTAGTAGGAGCCCCATGCAGTGATACTCTTAAAAGCATTGGCTTTCAATAATGAGTGGATGTGTTAAGTTATTTATCAGTGGAGTTCTACCGGTGCTATCCCTTTGGAGCCCACACATGGCATCTACTCCTTAATTTGCTCTGATGGGTGCCAAGATCATCCATTTAATTCAAGTCAGTCAACACAGTGGCATTTTGAGGCTGCAGGGATTTCACGTGTTATTGCTGTGCTTGAATGAATATTCATCATGCCAAAGATGCAGTTCCCTTGGTCTGCGCGTGTCATTAACATAGTCATTTCTCAGAAAAATAAAGAAACCAGGAAATGATTGATTCCCTTCGGCTGTCAGAAATTTCCCTGTACATTTTACATTTGGACTCAGTCTGTTTTCTTTCTCTAAACACATTTGCACAGCTTGTTTGCATCTGAAATCCACTCATTTATTTGCTTTAAATTACTAGAACATATCAGTAAGCATTTGCTTTGCACAATCATCCACATTCTCATTCATGAACTTGGACGCTGATTATTATTTAGAGCAAATAACACACAGCCTGTCATACTGGTATGAAAACTTCTAGTACCTAATTTCTATATGCATCCACTGCTAAAAATAGTCCTCAATGAACAGAGGACATTCAGTCGTCTGTCAAGACACTGATTCTGCCTGTCATAGAATTACATTGATGATAATATTTTGGGATAGAAAGAAAAATAATTTTATTTACAACTGTGAAACAGATATTTTGAAATGTGTGGTTTTAATGTGCCTTGCTTTTCCAGCAGCATTTCAGTGACTGGACTGCTAATGGACCCTGACGAACAGGAAGTAGAAAGCAGAGTATAACAAGCCACTGGAGACATCATCTAGCACTCCAGAGAGCCATTAAACAAAGTTTCCTCTTATTTATCCATGCACTAAAAAAAGATAGCGGGGACTTCTTGCTAATTGCCAACAGAAAAGTGTTGAGGTGGCTGGGGAGCCGCGCCCTAGCAGCAGACTCCTCTAGTCATCCCCAGTGGTTCCGTTTCACACTGTAATTTTTTATGATGCATGCAGGGGGGAAGGAGATACCTGCTGCACTGACAGGTCATCCCTCGCACGCTTGAGCTAGCATGCTGACGTATATGTGTTGTAACCAAAGAGGCGGTAGCTACTGAGCATGTGCAGCACATCTGGAGTGTTACACAATAGGAAGGCTTGTGATTGATGAGAGGAGCACGACAACATGGAATGAAGCGACACCTAGATCTGAGGGCGACTGCGGTTATGAGAGGTGAAAGTGAAAGAACTTGTCAAGGGCTCCCCGCTGAACATCCAGATGGCTGAGCTGCAGTGGCCAGGCTGGCTCTGCGATTTAAGAATGACACAGCAAACTGTTTAGTGGGGCTTCACCGACACCCATGGAGTGCCCTAAGTAAACCCCAGGGAAGGGTAAAGTTGAGTTGGAAAACAAAACACCAAAAGCGGCCATGTAATAGGCCTCTCACTTAGCGGTTACCTGTGTCAGGGGCACTGAGGGAAAACTAATTTATTTAATAGCCTGCTACTTAAATGCCATTCACTGGGCGGGAGAAAACAGAAGGCGTAGTGGGGACAAATACTTTCTTCACATTCACTGGAGAGATGTGATTTCTAAACTGGGGATCTATGTCAGCCATCTGGTAACGGAGAGGAGCAGGGAACTATGTCAGCATGCTACTCTCAATAATGCAAACATGCATGCTGTCAGAAGACGTTTGAAAATTCATGGGGAAATTTCTCATGAATGTCAACTTGTGAGAATTTTTTCCATGCCATAACTATATTGCCCACTGACACTTCTAATCTTTTTTAAAATACATCTATGGAACCATACTATGATAGAGAAACTATTTAAATTCCCTGCTTAATTTTGTATCCCACCCTCACAAGCATTTGCTATATTCTGCAAATCAAAGTTGCCAGCAGAGACTAATCTAATTTAAAGCGTGCAGCTTCATCAGAATGTGCAATGGACTTCAGGGTTGATTAAATGAATACTTCTTAACAACAAAATATAAGGTGATGTGTGTGCCTCCCTTTTCCTTATTTGCTTCCTGCAGGGCTTTACACATGTGTAATGTAAATAAAAGATGTGAGAGCCTTTAAACATATTACTAAATCAGTCAGTTATAGCTTACCTTGGTCTGGCATGGGTTTGTATGTTAATTACAGCAATGATAACCTAAATTGGTGAGTTATTTAATCAACTTGGAATCATTTAGTTTGCCTTCAACATTATTTCTGAAATGTGAGAAACAATGCATGGGTGCCAGCAGGACAATCAAACTGCCAGACAAGCCACAGTGTCTAGCAAATGCAAATACCTCCACCCTATGATTCCCCTTCCCCCCATCCGTAACTATTTAGAAATGCAAATGTTATGTCAGCCTCTACACACCGAGATGAATTGGTTATTCTATGCATTACAATCAGAGCTTAACCACAGCATCAATCTCTTTGCAATACCAGCCACATTGTCAGTTCAGTCTCCCGCCTCTCCCACTTACACTATATTTCACAGCTTTCCTTTGTGTGAATGTGAAATTCATTAGGATCTCACCGGAAAATGGAGGGACTGGATTACAGGGCCTCTGAAAATGGGATTAGACAATGGAAAGGGTTGGAAATGAAAGACCGATGTCAGGATTGTATGATGAGGTATTGTTCAAGTAGTTAGCTCAAAGCTTGTTGGAAAAATCAGTGGAGGAAGGGCAGAGCAATCAGCCAAGTTTCTCAGCCAAACTATCAATGAACAGCAGCCTGAAACTGGTGAGACGTTTGCTGACAGAGTCAATGGGGGAAGAGGGGATCACTTGCTGGTGGGCAGAGATGTGCCAGATACCAAATCATGTTCTGCTGGAATTGTTTCTCTATCAAAATGTCTTCATCAATGTTAGATGTTCAACACATGAGATCAAACTAAAAAGAAGATCCAAGGGTTTCTGTGGATGCAGTTGGCAAGTAAGCGTTTTGTCCGTTGGCATGATAGCATGACTAATTTACATTTCAAATTGAAATAACTGAATATGAGTGGGCACTAAAGATCAATTCAAGTGAATTATTGATCCCATTTTAGTGAATTATGGGTAATCCATTAAGCCAAACTACCTCAAGACCATAAAAGTAGCTATTTTTCCCTCTCTATTTCATAGTGAAACTTGTTCAGATTTTAGAAATGGGATTTTATTGATTAACTGAGAAGGACTTCATGCAATTCATCAACTCAATTCATGCAACAACGTCACTTGATAAACACAAGAAAGGACAACAAACTAACCAAAAGATGCACATGATTATTGATTTGAATAAACTACTGTATTTTGAAAAGCAAAAGGAAAAAAAAGTTATTTTTTTAATGATTCCTGGCTGTAACAGTTGAGTGGAGTGCAATCTTCTCATAAATTAAAAGATTTGCATGATCCAAAGTGGGAGGTGCCATCACTCCACTAAAGCTATAAACATACATTTCTTATATTGTGACAATGAAATTAAATAAAAACACAAATAATACAACAAAACAAATGTTCTCTGGCATTTTTTTTCGACTACTAACTGCCATGTAGAATTGCCCTGTTCATATTCCTGCTGAGAACACAAACCCTTGTTTAGATTACCTGCAGAGTGAGGATTTCTGACTTACTTTGAATGATGATGAATAAACGTGCTCTATGAGGTAAATTTAAATATAAGCTAAGAAAAGTAAAAAAAAGGATACCGTATATGAGACACATTAGGACACATTGGACTGACTATATTCTGAGCATCGTGCTTTACAAAAGCACAAGTGATGTACCACGGTACTTTTCAAACTTTTGTAATTCTCCTGACATGGTTGACGCTTCCCTCCTCTTGAAACTCTGTGGTTGTTCTCTCGCTGTGCAGAGATGGGATTCTGGAATGCACAACATCAGGGACCTGGGAAACAAAATGAATTTAGGTTTTATTTGGAATCACAACATCCCTTCAACAGATTGGATTATGGTTGCGTGAATTGAATCAAAAGAGGAATGACAGCTTTGAAAAAAGAAATCCTGCTGTAGCTACATTACCATGAATAATCAAGGTCATCTTCACTTAGGTGCTTTGTGTCAGGATATTAGATAAAAAATCATTAATCATTTGGGAAAATCTAACCTCTAATGGGAATAAACAGTCAGTTATAATTCACTGACAAAAACTAGACTGAAATTGTTTGGAAAACATACTTAAATTAGTTTGTATCTAAAGGAATAAGTAACTTTTTTCTGGTTGTTGGTCTGGAATTTTCAGGTGTGAAATCCTCACCAATGATCTTAGAGAACCAATTCTTTCCCTTCTCTCTGACCTAAAATCAAAATCCCTTGAAAAAAATTGTCTTGCAACAAAGTAATCCAATTACAAATCCTACAGCAGAGGTTCACAACTTTCAAGTAAATGAATCAAAACAAATTCTTAATCCTCAAGGCAGAGCTACTTCACATCAAAGGTAAAGAAGCTGTGATTTAAAGACTGGCCTTAGATTGTATTCCAGTAAATCAGCCCAGAGGCACATTTAAGATATCACCGGCATGTGAGAGAAATGACAATATATATTCCTCGCTGCAGGACAGAAGGGAAAAAGGTAATTTTATCCATTTCTGAAACCGTGATGTCTGTGATGTGTCCACATGATTCACAAGAAATATGTCAGCTAAAAACATAACTGATGGCATTGATAAAGTCATCAAGAGCTCTACCAATTTAGAAAGACCCATTATGTTTAATGCATGTTAATCTGCATTTCAAATGTATCTTGTAATGTGCCTGCATTCCTGATGTGGAGCTGTGTCATGGGAGGAGCAGCAATCCATCAGTGCAGAATCCCCATGTCCTCAACAGAGGAAACTGAACAACTCCCAGCAGCAAAGTGGCTGGCTACTCTCCTCAGCTCCAGTTTATCACTGACACAATTCGCCTTTTTTTGCTCTCTGTACCCCATCTCACTCTCTTTCTCAGTTTCACCTCTTTTTTACTCCATCTTACCTTGTTAAAGCTGACAAGGTCTGTCTGGCGTTGAGACTCCAATGTAACCCCTCTGTAATCTGCGCCTGCCAAGTAAAAAACAACTTTTTTAGACTGACCTGACTCGACGGCTCATATAAACAGCTTCTGCACATCCCCATCTAAACTGAAAGGACTTCAGTAAAATCATAGGATTTGGGAGATTACGCGGTCAGAGGTGCCAAGCAAAAAGGAAATCCTAGGATTGAATCCACAATTTAGTGTCACTCATGGAGACATGTTTAGCAACAACCTGATTAAACCATGTAAACTGTATTCAGTTGAAGACTGCTGGGATTTTAGAATTTAAATGTAGATTTAATTTCAGTCTAAATAAAAAATGTCATTTGCATATATTTTTTGCTCCTGGTTGTATATTTGATGTTTAAAAAAGTAGGAAATCAGTGAAAGATTTGAAAAGATGTGTAATTTCAATAAGAAAGTTGAATACTTGGACAACTGAACAATCTTTCTGTGGTGCCTAATAATCTCAAAAGATATAGAAAATAAAAAGAATTCTCTTTACACAAAGCTGAAAATCAATGTTTGGCTGTTGTGATATTTGACCTCAAAGGTGGCAGTATGTTAGTTTCTGTGAAAATCATTGCATGGCCTCAGGAACAGTTCTAAAATGAATAATCAGTAGTTTCTTACTGCTCTCGAATGGATGGTAAAAAAATCGAACACATCAAGACAAAAAACATGTACAATGACATGTTGTCCTGATGGAAATCCACACTATCGACAACGCCTCCTTTAGTGGATTATAATGTTTAAAAAAGTATGATTAACAAGGCTCCAAAGACCTGAATTCACATATCGAACGGAAAAAGGAAAACATGTTTCTTTCAAAACGAATAAATCAACCTGCCATCAATTTCTTCTGTTTCCAAGGAGAGTTTTTAAAAGAAAACAGGATTGTGCAAACTATGATCTAAAGTAGGTGAAACAAGGTTTTCCATATAAGCAATTGCAATATTCATTTTCTATCATTTTAATTAGTTGTTTCTGTGCGGTTTTAAATGAAATATTTGGCTCAAATAATTTGCCTTGCGCTCTGATCCGTTTATTACTACGGTACATGTTTAGCAAACTGTCACACAGCAAAAAAACCTAAAGAGGGTGACCAGCAACTCAGATGATTGTTACAGGAAAGCTCCTGCAGTGTGAGTTGAGCCTTAACAAGAAATTGATCACATCAGTGGGTAATACGGCAATAAAGCAGAGAAGCTGCAGAAATGACAAACTGCACCAAGTGTATGGATTTTATGCTCACTGCTGTTCTGATTAGATCAAATGCTCTGGGAGGGGAAAAAGAACTCATTGAGTAAAGTCATAATTATCTAAACACCCAATTACATCAGTCTCATTACCACCATGCTTTAAATGAATAATGCATTTTGTGGTTGAGAATTCCAGTTGTTATTCTCTTACCTGCTGGGCCCTCACTGGAGTATCCCAAGTTGACCTTTCCTCCTGTCGCCGTGGCTACCGAGCTTCTCCCAAACACTGATAGGTCGAACCTGAAAAATGCCCAAGAGAACTGTCTAGTGGAGGTGATAACCTTTAGCTGAACAGCAGAGTCACATCGTCAGAGGCCATGCTGTTGAGCACAGAACAGAGGCCCCGGCATTGTTCTAATCATAAAGTGCTTTGACATATAAAAAATGAGCATCATCATCTTTTCTCACACTGTTTTATTAGACGCAAGAAAAGTACTCAAGTCTGACTCTGTGCCTCATCTGTGTGGGAAATGCTGACAAGTGCAATGCTTATGATATCAGCTGCAGCCATTTGAATCTCAATGAACTTGTCATAAATTACGACGACTGTTTAATGTGTGTCATTTCAAATTCATGTCTTTAATTTTCCGCTCATAATGCTGATCAATAAAGACCTATTCCATTCTTAGAATCAAGACAAATGTATTCGGTAAGATTCATGCTGAGTCTTCAAATTAGCTTAAACTTAAAAGGAGCTCGGTAAAGGCAGTGAAGCGCGTTTGTGTCTGATTATTTGGAGGTCCATCCCCATGCAAGGCTCTTTCTTTCAAGGCAATCCTTCAAGGTGGCTGACATTTAAAGGTCTTTTTACTCTGTGAATAAAATCCTGTGTATTCATTGTTTGAAAACTGCTGCATAAAGCAAAGAGGACCTCGAATAAAGAGTTTTTAAATCTCACCTCTTTAGATCCAGTGGGTTTTCTTCTGAAAAGTAAAAAAAAAAAAAAAAAGAATAATTATGTTCAGAATCCCAACTGTTAGTTATATTCACTTCACTGACCTCAGATTCACTGAGCCAGCTTACCACATCTGCAGAACAACTGTATGAACGCTGCAAACGTCCTGATGTGTGTTTTTTTCTGATATTGCAGCCTTTGATCAGCTCGCAATTCAGCAGTTAAGGCTGCAGCTGAGCATTAATGAGTTTTCTAACATGGCTCCGTGGTCGCCTTTGGCAAAGGTCCTCACGGCCATGGCAAAGACGCTATTCCAATTACAGCGATGCAGATGGTGCTTGCCTCAGGAGAGATCTAAACTGTTCACTTTACAGAGAGGGAAATAGCCTGTGCCGATATAATTGTAATCCCTGTGGATATACTGGTCAAAGTCTTGCAGCGAGACTTTGTTAGATCCTCTCTCTTTTCTCAATAATTACAAAGCATACATTACTCCCCGCTGAGGAGGATTACACAAAGGCTTAGAGACACGGGAGCATGCTACATCCATGAACTTGTGAAACATCTCCATGAAGTTAATTTGAATTGCTCTGGGATGCTTCTCCAAAGACAAAAGACTCAAGTAAGAACAGCAGAGAAGGAGACTTCAGCTATTGAAGGGTCAGGTCCTCTTCACAATAATCTTTCATCTCCAAACCTGGCCATGGGTTGCAGTGGTTCAGAATCAGTCACAGGGATTACAATGACTTCAAAATTTAAATCACTCACACAGGCGTCCTACCCCTCACAGATGGGCTTCATCAGCTCAAACCATGCAAAACAACTTTTTTTGGAGGAGAAAGTTACATAGGAAACCAGTACATGAAACAGTCTAATTCCTATATTGTGTTTCATACACCTGTACACAGTTCCACATAAATATTTGAAATAAAAAATAGATAATTGCAACTGAAATGGAAGGTAAAACTAGTCTGCAGTCAGGGGGTGAAAGGCGGTGAAGGACTGCCAAGATGAAGTGTCCCTTAGTGTTTTCAAAAACATAATCTTCAAAATTTCTGTTTTGCTAACCTTAACCCTAACCCTAACCCTAACCCTAACCCTAACCCTCCACCCTTCATAATTGTGAGAAAGAAATGTTTTTGGTTAAATTTGTTTGGACTTATTGTACAAACCTATTGAACATACAGCATTTCAAGCTAATATTATGTATAGAGTTTAATTCAGTGTTTGCAAGATTAATTTCACTATTCTTAAATGAATGTGTATATTGTCATGCCGTAAAGGCAATTACGATTTTCTTGCCTGGGATCTTCCTATTGGTGATGTAATCAAAATGGCCGACTTGTGGGCTGAGTTGGATATCCATCCCTGGCTTCCTACATTCTGCAGTGATATGTAGGCTACTTGGGATTGGCTGTTCCCTGCTCTGCGTCCAGTCTCCCTCCAGGTCCAGCACGCTACTCTTTTAACAAGGCGAGAGTGATTGGCCAACAGATTCCAGGTATGCTAATCACCTCCACTGGCACTGTTCCCCTGAGGCTTCCCCACACCTCCCCTCCTGAAGCTGAGCGCCACGCCCCCTCCACAGTCATCAACATTTTACGCGTTTTGAACATCTTTATTGAGCTTAGTTATTGAAAACAAGGCAGGTAAGGTTAGGAAAGTGTCATGGAAAACTAGGATGCCCCCTGCTTCCCTCTTCGCTGTCATTCTAACAAACCTAATTAGTTTGTTTTCCCCAATTATATAATGAAGGGTGTTCTTTCTGTGCCGCCATGTGGTATGATGGGGTCCAAACAAGACTGACTCATCTGGCAGGGGAGAGGTCAGGGGCTCATGATTTCCCTTTATGTTCCAACAGCTGCCGGCAAACAAGTCCATAACCTGTTCAAGGTTGCCACATTCCCACCAACCATCAGCCTGTTGTGGAGGCATTTCCCATTAACTTACAAGTTTTGATAAGAATAGGGACCATGACCATGTCTTTGTTCCACTGAAACTCCAACATGCAAAACTTGTCCACACACGTGAGTTACTGAGTCCAAAAGGCAAATTAAAGATTAAATGTTCTTTTCATCATTTTAAGATGAATTAATCCGTCTTTTTTTTTAAAAACCTTCAAGTGACAGATGAAGGAAATTTTCAGATACATTTCCTCAGGTATCAGGTTAAATTAACTTGGAAGGTCTATATTTTTTTTCCACACATCTCATTAGGAAGGACCAGTTGCAAATTTAAGTATATATATGCGAATATTTCTCCCTAATGATCAGCAACCACCTCCAGAGGCTGCCTGGACTGAGACCCAAATAGCAGGAGAAGGCTTCCTGCAAATCAACACCCCCATGACAGCAAAAGGCCCTCAGATGTATTTCCATTCCCATTTTCACCGTTATTCCACGCTTTTTCTCAGATGTTTCGGAGGCTCAGACCCACAGCCCTGCAGTCACACACACACACACACACACACCTCCAATCTATTTGCTGCTGTTCTGCTGACGACCCGTGTTCCGCTCTTGTCGGGGGAAAAAAGTACCGCATGCCCTTGCTGAAGGCCACCACTGGGCAGTGCCGAGTCACAGCATGCAGCCGCCCATCTTCTTCATTACACTTTAATCACAGTTTCTGTGCTGGAAAATTGCGGGGTGAGCTGACATTTGTACACTCAGGGCAATTTAAGAGAGGGGAAAGTGCCTACTTGCTTGTCTCCTTCGCCTGTAACAGAGGACAGTGCAGATGCAGAGCAGCACGAGCAGCAGAAGAGCAGAGAGAGAGGCGGTGAAGGCGAGTGGGATTGTGAAGTCATCTTTTTTTTCTTCTTGCAAAACCTCTGCGACTGAGGGGGGAAAAAAGGTCACGTCATTGTTCCAGTGCAGAAGCACTAAATTAGAGTGGGTACTGTGCATTTCAATCCCAGATGCGCCTTGGTTGACTATGGTTCATTTACTATAACCATAACTTGAAGTGTTTCAAAGCTTAACTCTATGGAGAAGATTATGACATGAGCACCACTTTAATGAGAGCAGCAGTGCTGCGGCGACAGGCTTTATATAAAAATCTATTTCCTCTACGACAGTAACATTCTTCCAAAAAGAAAACAAAAAGGGGAAAGAAGATGGACATGTTAAAAAAGGAAACACGATGTGCACGGAAAATTTTGCCGTGCTCCTCCCTGCCTGCATGCATTTCTTGTTCAACACAAAACATGGTGCCCTTGTTTTCTCACCCACTGTCAGTTTGATGCTGCTCTTCAGTGGAGTCTTGAGGGCAGACACAGAGGCCAAACACGCCACGGTAGAGCTCTTTGCTGCCGTGATGCTGAAGTTACTAATCACACTAAAGAGGTCCTTCCCCAGCTCTTCTGTGATGAAGTTGTGTTCAGTCTGGCTCACCTTCAGTAAGAGCATATTATTACTTACAGCTTGTTTTTGTCTTAAGTGTTTACTATCTGTATATGCCACAAGCACAACAGAGCACAACAAATTATACTACTGTTTTTGATAACTTAAAATAAGGAATGAGGATCATTTTTGAAGAGGTGTGTCATGGACACGACTGGAAAGGGACTGAAATCCAAACACAAATTAATGGATGCAAGAAGACAATTCTTCACTACAAAGGGTGGAAATTGAGGAGGAGGATTAAAGCAGGACTCTACAGAGCAAACACAAACATAAGCAAGTTTCCAATCTGACCAACATTCCACAATATTTGTTGTATGACATAAAACTAACCAAAATGAAAAAACACTTGATTGCAAAGATTTTTTGGATGGAATCATCTTCAATAAAGGGTGGTTTATCCATTGTTTCCAAACGTTACAGTAGATTATGGAAGCATTGATTCTTTCTTAATCCACAATTACAGAGTTCATAGAGGTCTTATCGTTGCCACGGTCAGGTCCCACAGAAATATAGTCAAAATTTTCAAATCTACAATTGGTCTGTGAAAAAATTAAATGAAATCACAAGCTTACAGTCACCATGAAAACACAATCTAAACTGTAACATGAAAACCGTGTTACATCTTTAAGTAGGATAATTCTTTGCCCCACATTTTCCAATATTTTGATACTGTTTATGGTCATCTTCAGTAATCACTTGCTTGACTTAAGTTAAAACTATTAATACAGGGGTTGGACAATGAAACTGAAACACCTGGTTTTGGACCACAATACTTTATTAGTATGGTGTAGGGCCTCCTTTTGCGGCCAATACAGCGTCAATTAGTCTTGGGAATGACATATACAAGTCCTGCACAGTGGTCAGAGGGATTTTAAGCCATTCTTCTTGCAGGATAGTAGCCAGGTCACGACGTTTAGCTGGTGGAGGAAAATGTTTCCTGACTCGCCCCTCCAAAACACCCCAAAGTGGCTCAATAATATTTAGATCTGGTGACTGTGCAGGCCATGGGAGATGTTCAACTTCACTTTCATGTTCATCAAACCAATCTTTCACCAGTCTTGCTGTGTGTATTGGTGCATTGTCATCCTGATACACGGCACCTCCTTCAGGATACAATGTTTGAACCATTGGATGCACATGGTCCTCCAGAATGGTTTGGTAGTCCTTGGCAGTGACGCGCCCATCTTGCACAAGTATGGGGCCAAGGGAATGCCATGATATGGCAGCCCAAACCATCACTGATCCACCCCCGTGCTTCACTCTGGGCATGCACCAGTCTGGGTGGTGCGCTTCTTTGGGGCTTCTCCACACCGTAACTCTCCCGGATGTGGGGAAAACAGTAAAGGTCGACTCATCAGAGAACAATACATGTTTCACACTGTCCACATCCCAAGATTTGCGCTCCTTGCACCACTGAAACCGACGTTTGGCATTGGCACGAGTGACCAAAGGTTTGGCTATAGCAGCCCGGCCGTGTATATTGACCCTGTGGAGCTCCCGACGGACAGTTTTGGTGGAAACAGGAGAGTTGAGGTGCACATTTAATTCTGCCGTGATTTGGGCAGCCGTGGTTTTATGTTTTTTGGATAGAATCCGGGTTAGCACCCGAACATCCCTTTCAGACAGCTTCCTCTTGCGTCCACCGTTAATCCTGTTGGATGTGGTTCGTCCTTCTTGGTGGTCTGCTGACATTACCCTGGATACCGTGGCTCTTGATACATCACAAAGACTTGCTGTCTTGGTCACATATGCGCCAGCAAGACGTGCACCAAAAATTGGTCCTCTTTTGAACTCTGTTATGTCAGCCATAATGTTGTGTGCATTGCTATATTTTGAGCAAAACTGTGCTCTTACCATGCTAAATGGACCTTCAGAGTCTGCTCTTATTGGTTCAATGTGCAATTAATGAAGATTGGCCACCAGGCTGGTCCAATTTAGCCATAAAACCTCCCACACTAAAATGAGAGGTGTTTCAGTTTCATTGTCCAACCCCTGTACCTCACAAAAAGGGGACAAAATAAGACAAATGGGAAAACCTTGGAGGTGTGATTTTACCTGTATGTTGTCCACCTGCCATTGCACAGTCGGCCGAGGGTGCCATCCAGCTGCTTGACACCGAAACAGGACTGACTGCCCCTTAAAAGCCAACTTGTTTTCTCCAAAGACTTTCACAGTGCCCTTTTCTGCAAGAATAAAAAAGCTGCCTTCACAAACTTTATTAATCTACATGTTTGCCGTGTAAGTGTTATGTGTTTATGTTTTGACAACTCTTGGAATCTATTCATTTAATCACCAGTCTTATTTGAAATTCATGTTTCTGGGTGGTCACGTCTCCAATCAGAGATGAGCATTACTCTGTGGCTGGCCCAATCACTTAGAAAAGATGGATTTCATTCAGACGGTGTGATTGATCGCATGTCTCACTGCGTGTAACAAATGGTCTTTTACCCATCTTTCCCCTCATCTTCCCCCCCTCCCAGCCATATCCGCCACTTTAGGCGCTGCAAGATACAGTATTTCACATGTGAAGTTTGTTGCCGGAATAAAAGGTGGTGGATGCAGCAGAAAATTGCTATAGACAGATAGATAATTGCAGAGGCTTAGGTGCTTTGTCTAACGAATGACACGTCCATGTTGATTTAGGTTCAAAACCTCAGATGTTTTGTACGCTTTGTAAGCTTCCCTTTATCTGCAGGCACTTTCATTTGACGCCTGATTCGGTGTCATAAACGCGGTGCCATCCCATTTTTACAGAGGCTGGTTTTCATAGTGGGACTTAAAGCAGTTCTCTCGAAATCTCAGCACTCTGGCAAAAAAGCCTGGCCCGGAACCAGCAGCCTCATCTGCACTGAATGATGAGGGGCTCCGGGCAATCACGGCTGATTGATACATCTGAGCAGAGACAGAGTGACAACAGCACTCGTTCCCAATACTCCACCATAAAGGGATCCCTGGAACAGGGTTTCATTTAGTTTGTTAATCAGTGTGGGGAAACCGTCAGTGGGCTGTGTGAGGCAGAGAGCCTTTAGCTATCTATAATTCTAGTCATTTTTCAGCTGGAGTCCTCAGAGACTAAACTGTTGCTTCAAGGGCAGCTTTAAAAATGTGTGAAACCAAATGTAGAATTGGTATGAGTGTATATATGCATGTTTCTCTTTTTAATTAACAGTATATAGCGTGTTTTCTGTTAGCCCTGGTGTGCATTGGAGTTTTCTCCCAGTGGATATAGGCAAATTACCACAAGCAATGGCTATCTTCTCTGATTTATGTCAGAGTTCTCCTCTACCTCCTGCCCACAGTTCAGATCCTTTTCGGAGTCAACTGCGCATGCAACCATATTGAGTTGCTCAAGTGCGGAGTTTGCTTTGATGTATTGCGTTTGTGATTAAATGAGGAAGCAGAGACGGGGCGTCTAGTGTGTGCCCATATTTACATCATTTTCATGTAGGACAATTAAAGCAGCGAGTGTGGATGATAGCACCCAGATTCAACCAGCCTCACTGTAAATTTGTGGCTCTATTCCAACAGTATATCTGAGCCGCAGTACACAAATCACAGGCAGAGTTGCTGACTGTTAACTGGGCGTGCCAGGATGCACAATTAATTCAAAGACTATGTCAGGCAATAGTGATCTTCTGCATCCAGACTGGAGGGCCTGATTCACCATACACTACTGTTAATGGCTGCATATGTCACAGGGGATTTGTGGCACTGGCAGCAAGGAAGGCTCTCTCCATATGAAATATTGGAAGCAGTAGGCCATTGGTTTTGTCTCCTGACGCTTTTTACAGAGATGTTTCCTTGCTTATGTTCTTTCTATTTTATTTTATTTTAGCTGACCACTCAGTTCAAGTGCAATTACTGTACATGCAAATTAACCGAAAGTTAAGGTCAAGAGCTGTCATTTTGTTTGATGCACACTATGTTGGTGTGGGCACAAATATTTAGTTGTTAACGCCCAAGAAAATTTTTCAAGGTTCTTGGGCCGTAGTTCCACATGCCTTCTGAAGTTTTTCTTTGTTTTGTTTTTGTGACATTTGCTGCTTTTTCAGTCCAAAGCTTTTACATGAAAGAACAAACTTTTTTTTTTAAAGAATGTGGATGTATGTCACCCTGCCAAAGCCTGTCGTCTTTTGAATGTTCTGGACCTGAGATTCTAACTTGCATGAACCTGGACCGACAATGGAAAGTTAAGTTTTGGATCGTGAGTCCTGATCCTCCTCTGAGACCAGAGTTTAGTTTGACTGCTTTTCATTATCCCTTTCCACCTTTAAATAAAATGATTTTGTACTATCTCCTTGTCTTGGCTGCATTTTGGGTTCTGGCTTTAACATTATAATGTAACACTGACCTACGAATCATTTTAAGCAACAAAAAAAACACCTGATCCATTTCCTAACACCTAATGCTAATCCATGTTTCTTTCACCCTTCTTTGTTATATCTAAAAGACTGACAGAAAAGCATAATTTTCAAAATAGCATTTTCACATCAATAAGATGATTTCCCAAAAAAGCCTGGCATCATCTCCACAGTAAATGGAAGAAAAGGTGGCTAAGAAGAGGACTTTGTCTGAAACTCCATCATAATGACAGAGAACTACTGCCTCTCATCAGGTTCTGAAAAAGAAGTCATCACACAACCTCTGGCACAGCATCTGTATTATTCACTAAATGGGGAAAAAAGAAGAGCAGAGACTGGCTGCAGCCTTTAAATCCCCCTTCCTGTGACTGACAAGGAGTCTAGCCTTTTCCAGCTTGTATTTATGTCTTGGGGCCGATCAGTTTCGATCCCCCACCAACGCTGTCATTAAGTGTTGTCACAGAGACCATCAAACATGCCAGGGCAGCTTCCCTCCACCTCAAAGGCTGTAATGATTTTCCCACCTGTGATATACCCTCTGATTGATCACTCATGTGTTGCTCTCATAGAAAACTGAAAGCTTCAGCCCCCCCACTTCAAAGCAAGAAAAAACAAAGGGGCTTAGGGAGCTTAGTTAAATGCTAGGATAATTTCTACTTCTTTTGTCCTCTAGCGGTGCAGGCCGTGTGAGTGGGCGAGCAGAATGAAAGCAGCTTCAGAACTTCAGCATCAACCCTTCATTTAATCTTTTTTATAGATATTTCTTTACGCATGCTGCTTTTTGCTTCATCAAGGTTAAATTCAGAGTGTTTCTGCGCTCTATCACACGACAGTGGTTTCCAAGAGACTGGCCATCTGCTTGTTATCTTTAGCTGATCAGTGCGTGCATGTGTATGAGTGCATGGAATTTTTGCCAAATATGTCCTATCCATGAAAGAAGCAACAGAAGAAAAAAATCATTTTTTTTTTTTAAACTTGGAAAATCTCTGTAGCAGAAATTATGTTGTTGAAGAGAAGCAAGATAACATACATGGAAGACCAAGTGTATGCTTTGTTATGGAATTCAAGACTGCCCTTTCTGTATTTCCGTGTGATTTCGACTGTAGATGTATTGTCACTACTGAGATAGCTATTGTGAGCAGACATTACACGCACCTTGTACAAACAGGCTTGCCGTTCTCTTGTCGACGAGCTGGATATCACAAGTCACTTGGCCTTCGTTGTACCTCTCTGTGTTGTTCAGGACAAACCGCCAGCCATTTTTGTTTGAGACGGCAGTCACATTCGGATAGATGGAGGGGAGGACACCTGTCTCCTTGGAGATAGTGAGCACTGCTCTGCCATTCAGCAGCCACACCATAACAGTCCACTCGTGGCTGGAGGGAGTACAGGTGAAACTGGCCTCATCTCCTCGCAAAACTGTCAGGCTTTCAGGTGACAGCTTCATCTTAGCTCCAACCCCTAAAACCATAAAGAAGGGTGAGACGTGCTTTAGTGACATTTATTTAGACCTGGAGGTAGCTGAAATAACATTATAAAATGGATTAACTTTGATAGAAAAATAGCTTTGCTGATTTGTTGTTGAGAATCATGTCATGTTTGAACCTTGTCTAACACCTTCTGGCTAGGAAAATGCTCGTAAGCGGCTGCTAAACCATTACATCTGCATCCACACCATGACGCATATTATTCCAAAGCCGTTTCACTTCCCTACAGACCATGCAAAGTTCATTTAGATCACTTCACACATTTTTGAGGCGATGTCCTGAGTTGGCTGTTATTTTTAAGATGTTTCTTGAGCAAATCTTGTTAGAAATTGGCTCAAAACACTCTTAAAACTCCAATTCATTTGTGCGCTTGTGAACGTTCTTCATGTGACAGACTTAATTTTCCATCATGAATAACTGTCAGTTACCCAGACAACAGTTTTCACATGTCAGCCTCTTCAGCTTCTGTGTATGAAAGGTGCAACTGAAATTAGGAGAATTGTGATGTATCCAGATGATTGAATGAAGGTAAACAGACTTTAAGCAAAAACTTTGAAACTCATTTCAACAGTCTCAACCAAACTTTTATCTGTAGTTTTTTACTTCTTTATTTTCTTCAGACTTACTTCTGTTTGATCTTCTTTTTGAATGTGTTTACAACTCTTTATTCACAACTTGAGACCGGTAACAGTAAGAATCTTTGTGTTTTTTCACAAATTCCATTCTATGTCATTTGTGACATATTTTCTTTCTAGAGATGTTAGAGCAGTACCAATAAAAAGCTGTGCTTTACCAAACTGTACAGTTTATTTTAACATGTTAAAGCACGTTGTTAACCTACCTCTTCACCTCAAATCTCTATTGGTCTTAATGACCAAACTCGATAAAACAATATTTTCCCAAATAAGTTTTTCATAACTTTGATTCAAGTCTGTGGTATAAAAAAAGAAAACATACTCATGTTTGCCATATTGTCAATATTCTGTAGAGTAAACAGTTTAATATTACCCCAGAAAGAGAAGAGGATGAGGAAATTTGGATGATAAACAAATAACCTAATGAGAGATTATCAATGGCAAGCCTTAAAAAAACTGCTAGCAGATTCGGGATGATCCATAAACTTGGTTATGGTGAGTGGAGCGTATTGCCTGCTACAGCCTGCATGCAGAGTTGTACATTTTGAGGCTGTCTTGAAAAAAATTCTAGGTGAGCATATACAGTTATTTTTCCATTGCTGTTCGAAACTAGCAAATTAATGAGTATCCCGTGTTGGACGTGTGAAGTGTCAACTCTGGCCCACACTACCACAAACTGTCAACACCGGCTGCCATCTTTAAGGCAATTGGTGATATAGGGCAGGAAGGTTATTAGACTCTCTGTTTTGATTTGATATAAAATCTGAAGGGTGCTGCTTTCTAGCACACAACTGTTTCTGACCTCTGTACAACATCTCCAGTCAAACAAGACGCTCTGTTTGTTTTTAGCTGAACTCTCACCTTCAGTCCTGAGTGAAAACAGGAGCATTAGTAAAGGCAGAATGTCCATTTTTAATCTGCTGATCAGGTCAATCCATTAGTCAGTTCTGAGTCATCCTGAAAAATGAAGAACAGTTAACATTTGCTTGTATTTTGATTTTGATTAAATGTATATTTAGATTTTTCTAAGTACTGAAGGAATTGCAATATAACTGCCCATGATGCCTGAGAAGGATGAGGTACTGCTGAGATCAACATCACAGTTACAGGACATTTGGTGTTCCAGCTCAGTCCTCATTTCTCATATTAGAAAAGATTTCTCAGTGACAATTCATTGATATTTTCATCAAATATCAACCTCCGAAGGTCACATGTTTTTGTTTGTTTCAAAATTCAGACTGCTGTCTATCTTTCTGGACATGTAAAAGATCAGGACAGGAAATTACATCCCATGGGGGGAGTTGCATTTTCCCCACAGATTGCACTGCCCCCATTGGGACTGAAAAGCTTGGTTTGTCCGTATTTTTCCTCCTTAATTTGTCTACATCGCCATGAAAAACATCTGTCTAACGGCTGCAGGATGAAGCTTAAAGCAGTGAATAAGCAGTTACCTTGATGTTTCACCTTTTCACATTTATGTATTTATTAGAAATTGTGGACAAATAATAACACTTCAAACTGTCCAAAACACATTGTTTTTCACAGACGTGACACTAATCTCTGAAAAAAGTAAAAATTTTCAAATGTTAGATATTCATCTGAAATGCGTCACAAATCTAGAGCTTCAATACTGCAACAGTTTGCTGTCTTGGTTTTCTTGTGATTTTCTTATGTTATGCTTTAGTACGACAGCCCAGAAGTTCACAACATAAATACATTTTTACAAAAAAAACACACTGAGTTAAAGATGGAAAAAGGATGGGATTCCAAGTATTAATTACGATTGGACAGAACCCAACAACACGCTGATGTCATCTACTGCTTTTGGTGTTTGTCACGTCTGGAGTTCTGCTTCTGCTACTGTTTAACTACTGTCAAACCAGCTCCTTTGCATATTCCTTCATTATCTTAAACTGATCTCAAAAAGAAGATTGGTATTTCCAAAAGAAAATTCTGAAACAGCAACAAATGCAATTTGGCTATTTGCAATCATTTCTGCTGGCAGAACATAACTTAATGTTTCTACTCAAATAGTGCTGCTAAACAGTTTTAAAAAAATAATAAAAGACCAATATTGTAAACGTGTAATCAAATCAACTCATTAAAATTATATCGTTATCAGCGGCTCACTTAACAGTCATAAAAACCCTTCTGCAACATTAAGGGAATGTACACATTAGTGAATGATATTCATAATTCAGTCGGTTTTCTGTGTAATTCTGAAACCAGCCTCCATGCAGAGTACTCTTGCATTCATAATTATAAAACCAGTATTTAATTTACATTACAAATATGATCATGGAGCCTGACTTTCTGCACCGTGACCATCTGTTAGCTGCATCGCTTCCACCTCTAGACACCTGCTGGTTGTCAGTCCATGCAAATAGATCTGTTTCTACCTGATAAACTTAACCAACCACAGATGAACACACAGTTTGTGGGTGCAACAGTTTCACCTACAATAAATCCACCTGTCTCCCAAACATTTTTATCAATGGATGAACTACTTTCTATGATCAAATAAAAGTCCAAGTGAACAATAAATGTTCACTAAATTATATCTGTTTCTTCGACTCACCTCAGTGTGATGTTTCATGTGCCACAGAGTGGATCAACCATTCTCCACTTCCTCATGTCTGCTGCCTGGTCACGTCATCCCAAACTGTTAAATATTACCAGATTTGGGGAGGAACTTTGCCCCATGCTAAACACACACATCTAAATTCACAGTGCCCCTTGTTTCACAGAGGACTTTATAACTAAGATTCATCCTCTTTTCTGTTGTCCTTCTTTTTTGATATTGGCTAATTTGGATTTATAGAAGAACAACTTTAAAAGATTGAAGAGTTCTCTATTAGACTTGATACATTGTGATATTCCCTTTTCCAGCAAAGTCGTCAAGATTTCCATCTTTGGCATAAAATGGAGCAAAAGCCTGATGTGGTGTGGTTGTGTATGTGTCCATGGTGTCCATGTGTCCATGGATCTTTTGCATATGTCAGGCAGTCTTTTGGCAGTTCTAGTCTTTTGGCATTCTAGAGGTTCCAAATGGAGTCTCGAGAGTCACAGCATTTGTTTTCCTGTGGATCCCTTCTCTGTGCCTCTTAACCAAGCTGATATATAAATACGCCATATAAAAACCAGTGAGACTTTTTAAAACAATTCTACTTAATTTAATTTTCCATTGCATCCAAGTCTTAGCCACATGTTTCACTCTTTGTTCAACAAAGTGCATCGATTAGACAGCAGCTCTGACAAAAGTAGTAGTAGTGGAGGTGGAGTAGTTTGTAATCTCAGTTGGCATTTATACAATCAGATGTTGAAAGGAGTTGGTTAAGCACAAGATTGGAACAAAGGAACAATACAGTAACAAGATGGTGAGTTATTAAAGCAAGGAGCTACAAGCCAAGGTATGAAAAGTACCACTTTTTGGTAAAGTCACTGCCTCTTTGTGTTAGAAAACTACAATTTCCTACAGTATAACATGATAAATCTGTTGGACAACTGTAAATTTTACAAAAGCTACTCTGAACAAATACCACTTGGCCACTCTGCGCATCACATTACACTATGTCTCTACACGCAAAATATAAAAATTAAGTCAACATTGTAGTCAAAAGGGATAAGAGAGGGGCAAATGCGGGTTAGGACTTCTCAGTGTGGATGGCGCCTTCGAGCACATGACCAGCGGTTTCCAGGAGGGTTCAGTGAAGCATCGGGAGAGATGGAGAGGCTGTTGGACGGGTCAGAGGGGGTCAAGCATCAGGGTGAGATGAAAAGAGGGTCTCCTTCAGGCTGGCACAGATTAAAAAAAAAACAGATGAATGAAGAAAGAAATTAGGTCACACATTTGCCTGCCGTCTGAGGCAGTCGCCGCCACCACCTCCACGCCTGTGCTGCCCAGTGCGCCCACTCCTCCGCAGGCACACGCGAAAGCTCATTTAGCGCTTCTTCTAACAAAGCGTGACAGGGGCTCACAGGGGCCAGGAGGTAGATAAGGGATGAGGGAGAGCAGGCTTTTTACCAATCCTGTTTCCTAGTTCTTCCTGCTGTGAGTTATGGATGCCCTGACGCGCAGAGACGCACAAAGACAAGCTTTGAAGATCAGGATTATTACCATCACAGCCATCATCATCAGTGCCACTGCCTCGGGGAATGGAAAAACACTCCTCCCAACAAAAAAATGCATGAGACGTATTTTGTTGTTGCTCCGGATAGCCCAGAAGCACTATGTGTGCAAAGTGAAAATGTTCACAGATGGAGCATTAAAGTTTTTTGTTAAGGGGACCATAGCATTGTTTGTTCTCTACTGTTTAAACAAGACAATTGTAAGAAAGGTAAAGCTCTATTCAAACTGTATAGGCAAGCGAGTCCCAGTTCTAGTATGTGAGATTTATGCACTTTATGTGTAAAAGCAGGGACATTTTCCTACAACGAGAGTATCCCAGTGCTTTGCAGCAACATCATGAATTTAAACTCTGATGACAGGTTGAGTAACATTGGTATTTGGCATCTGCTTTTGATTTCACAACAGGGCCAAAGACGATGACAAAAGGCAAGTTCTGAACGTGGGCTTGTCTTATTTTAGGTTGAATTAAACTAAAATATAGAAGGAAATGATCAGAGATCCTGTTCATTTCTCACAATGCTAACGATCCCACTGATGTTGTACTGCCCTCCAGTGGTAAAAACAGAAGCAGAGAAGAGGGGTAAAATGGTTCACCTGAACAGGATAGAGTTGTCATCATCGCTGTCGCCTCGCTTAAACTACTCAGCCTCTTCTTCCTGTTAAAAGGAAATAATAGTGCTTTGATGAATAACACATAAACATGAACCGGTGAGAGATGGCAAGAGGAAGAACATTATTCTGTATTCTGTTGCTTTTTTTGAGCATATCTTTTATGTTTTAGGTGGAATGTATTTTATTTAGTGTAAAATACAACAATCCCTGTCGATAACAGTCGATATATGTGCTTAAAGGGATGAAGACTAGAGTTTGATCTTCTGAGTTTGTTGTATAATTGAAAGAAGAAATAAACTGGGTGCAGGCTATCGAGATGCTATGGTTTGCGTTTGATTTCCACACATATGTTCTCCTCTTAGTGCAGCTGGAACAAGACTTTATGCAGACATGTCAAGCACAGGCAGAACCTCAGATGTGACAAATCACTGTCATACTACCTGTGTCTCTTCCAAGTCTTCCTCTTCTCCCTTTCAAACATTGAAAAAAAGAGAAAGATTGGGAGGTGTGGGAAGTCATCCAAACAGAAGGAGAGTCAGAGGGCTTCACAAGTTAGTGGTGGCCATGAGAAAGGGTTAAAAATTAAGGAGATCCAACCCAAAAGGTTAGAGTGATGAGGGGATGAGGGAGTCAAAATGAGAAAACTAGTGACCAACTGTTTTTGTGTGCAGGCAAATTTGAACTATAAGAGACATTAATGTGGCTTTGGATGGAGTGTTGGATAAGGTTAAACTTTAGAATATCAAGCTAAACATTATGTTATCAAATGGCTCTGAGCTCCTTCCCGCAAGTACAATGAATGATAGCCTTTTAGGTACAAATCACTTGGCATCATTATCTACAATAAGCCACAACCATTGTTTTATTTGTACCAGTTGCACCGTTTTAAGGCGTGGAAAAAACATGGAAACGGTAAGCCGTCTAGTGTAAAATACTGATTTGTTTTTCATATTGCTTTCTCCTGGAAAAAGGTCCAATAACACAATGTACTAGGTCCCCTTTTGAAACGTGTCACATCCACTTCACATCCACTTGTTTAAGACCAGTCTTGGCACGAAAAAAAAAAAGAAAAAAGAACACGAGGTCTTAGAAAAAAAGAAGACACGTCACCGTGTCAAGTCGATGCATCCCCCAGCTCCGTGCAGCAAAACCAAACTGAGCACGCTCGAGTTATGCTCATAGGCACGCAGGCAGGGCCAAAGAACATGAGGAAAAATATATCCCATATGCTCTTGGGGTATCAAAACAAAAAGGGATAATGTCTCGGTAGAATAAGAGAATGTGCCTCTTAGGATTTTTTTTTTTAAATCACTGCAAACCACAACAATTATTGTGTTTTGCCATCTATGAAGTAATGCTTGCAGTGGAGCTGCTCCACATTTACTTTGTCCACTGGACTGCGTGACGTACAGCTGCCTTGGGGGGAGACAATAGTTTCTACATCAGATTTTTGTCTGTGGACAGATCGTGCATGTAAACCCACTCCAGTATGATTCACACCATGCCACACATGGACAAAAATACCACAGTCCAAACATATACCTCTTGTGCTTCAGCTTCTTCTTCTTCCTACAGAAGATGAAATCAGGGCGTGTTGAGTTAAAGGATATAGAGGGGAAAAGGAGAATGAGATCTACAAAATGGTCCATAAATGACTGCTTTTTCCATTTCCACCTTTAAGGTTTAAGTAAAATATCCAATATTCATCATGCTGCACACCCTCAGGCACCTTCATAGAAAAGAATCCTAAAAGCCCCATGCAGCACGCATACACAGAAAGAAAAAGGAGAACACAGAAGATCTAGCAGCCTGAAAGATGTAAGACCTCACAAACCACAAAGAAAAGAAACAAAAACTACCTCACTGCCTTGTTCGTCTTGGTCCTGAAAGGAAGGTGAGACAAAGACAAAGCGGACAGAGAGGAAGGGAGGGAAGAAAGCGAAGCAGTGAAGCAGAAGCTCAGGCAGAGTTTGGAATGTCTCAGAGAGGCCAAGCCCTTTTCACACAGCACTTTGAACAGGGAAATCTTTATGTCTCGCACTTTTCTGTAACGGCAGACAAACTGCGGCTTCATGGTAAATTCTAATTTGAGATCTAGTTAGGGCAAGTTACGCACTGCTGTGTGAAAGAGGGCTGAAGTCATTGGGGACTCTTGCCACCGTGTCCGACGGGCTCAATGTGCAGTGACAAACACACAAACACAACTGATGTATGTGGGTCTCCTTGTTTAAGTCCCAGCAGGATAAATCCTGGACAAAAAAAATCCACACAGCAATATATTTGTTTGTCCTTGGATATTAATTTGAGCCTTACAATAAGAAAAAAAAATAGTTTAAAATGTTTTCAGATAGGACCTGTTACAGTAAGCCATAGAGACTTATATCACTGTCAAAGTTGGTAGACTAAATGTATAGCATAAAGGTAATATACCATACAGGTAACTTAAGTTTTTCATTATGATGTGCCTTGTACAAGCAGTTTTTATGTCAGTCCCTTCATGTTATAGTATAATCATTTCTGGGGAAAAAATTATGCATAAAAATGATTTCACACGGTTTACATCCAAAACATCTCAGAGTGGCCAAAAGTTGTGTTGTTGTTTGTGCTGCACTTTCCTCTGACTCTTAACTTTGCAATTAAAGTTAATGCTTCTAATCAAATAAGTGACCGGTCCCTTTTGGAATAAATGGCTCTGCGGGCTCTGCAAATGCGATGAAACTTTATAGAGTGTTCCTAATCAGAAAGCGAGATATGCCAGGAGGTGGCAAAAATGCTGACTATAAGGTACAGGTCATCGAAAGGATGAAAGATGAGCTCAGAGGGCTGAGGGGCAGATAATTCAAATGAAAAGAAAAGGCAAATAAAAAAAAATTCAAAATCACATTATTCTACCTCAAGCTGTCGTAGCTCTTCTTCCTCCTAAAAGAAATAACAAATAGCAATCAGCCGGCTATGTAGTAAGCAGAAGAGCAACACAAGCATGCGCTATAGGGAAGCCGTCTCATCTAACAGTGGAGTTTAGGGGAGTAGATGAGGATATCAGGACGCAGCTAATGCTAGGAAGAAACAAGATTGTTAGCAAAAAAAAAATAATTGAGAGGGGTTTGGAAGGAGAGGTGAAGTATTCAAGAGGGCAAACTGAGGAGCTTAAAGATGAGTAAGGGCAACAGACTGAGATTTTCTCCCACCCCACCCCAACCGAAGCAGCCCTCTCTGATCTCTGCACCGTCACACCAATAATGCTGAGGACTATATGGAGGAACTGGGGAAAGAGATGATCGCCGCAGCACAGCTACCTCTGACTGCAAATCCTCTTCCTCCTGGAGGGGGCAAACCAAGAGGAGATGGGCAATAGGGCAAACAAGGGCTCAAATGCTGTACAGAGTGTGTGGATGAGGAACATGGCCGGTGTTAGCCGCAGCAGACAGACCTCTGACACCCATCTATCCAAATGGTGCGTTAACAGGTGTGGGATGGGTGGATAAAACCATGAACTGGGAAGATGTATCAACTCCAAAAGGTTAAATGAAATGAGACTGCATGAGGTGGTGAATTACAACATTCAAGGTTGGAGGATTAAAAATGGCTGATTCGGACAGTGGGGTTACCAGGGCATGCGCTACCTGTAACAGTAGGTCCAAACCCTATGCTAAAAGTGTGGACGTAGCATTTTTTTTTTTTTAAATTTCGCAAATTCTATTCATAAAAGTGAAGGAAATGCTCAGTAAAGTCAGACAAACGACAATTCTGAAGGGCAGGATATGCATTTCCTCCAAAAGTGTCTGGAAAAGGGGCGATTTGAGGATATTGAAAGACACTAAATTGAAAAAGCAATGTCAACGGTCATCTAAAGCTCATTCAAGGGCCCAGGACTCAAAAAAAAAGAAGAAAAGACCTTGACAGACACAGGAACTTGGAGCAGTCATATTGTTTTAAAAAGATGTTAAGATACTGAAGCTGTACTCATCCACTGCAAAGCCTAACTTTGTGTTGGCCTAAATGCACAGAGTTTAACAAAACTCTTCAAAGCCTGGCAGAAATGTAAATAATAAAAATGACGGGAAAATAATAAATTCATTAAAAGTCCATTTGAAACGTGGTATAAATCCCCGATGTTCAAGTCATGAAAAAAAATCCTTCTTTTATGATGCCGGATAAAGACATCAGGTCAGAGAGCTGATTCTAAACCCATATCAACTGTAAAGTAGAAAGCACCCACGAACACCCGCTAACCGTGATGAGGATGAGCAGATGGATGAGGAAAAGTGGTGAAAAAAAAAGCACCATTTTGACTGACCCAGGCTTCAAAAAATGAAAACTGGCATTGACTGCAATTTCTGCTGTGGACTGCCATCAAAAAGGTCATTTTACCATTTGTATCAGATTATTTGGGGGCTGGGTTATACAGATTAGATTAAAGCGTTGGAAACTCTTTTAATTTCAAAATCAAACTGAAGAATTCTAAATTAGTATATCGTGAATACTTTAATGAAACACTCATGCATGCCCTTTTTAGGAACTAACCCATGCTGAGAGAAGGCTTTTGGAAAACATACCTGTTCTTCTTCCTCTTCTGCCTGGGCCTGCTGATAGAATACACATAGAAGACAAAATTAGCGATGGTCAGATACCCGATAATCTGTACATTATGCATTTCAATACTTCAGACACAACGCCATCCACAGATCAGCCTTATTGAAATGATTAGAATGAGGTGGTTGTGGTCTACTGACACACCTTGGGCCGGACAGGTAATCAGTCGTGAATATGCAGGGTGGTGTGGATCATATATAGACAAGAGGTAACAATGTCACTCCAAAAAAACAAAAGAACAAAGACAGGGACTGTAAAAGAAAGTAGTGCAATGAGGCGACTGAACGCTGACTGTTACGTGGGAGACATTTAGGAACAATGAACAGGAACGCCGCACACTGTGTGTTAGTGAAAGACCAAATATGGGAGAGACTCAAAAAGATGCAACACAAGGATGACAGGAACTTCAAAAGAAGGCAAACCTTAAATAAAAAGAAGAGAACATTAAAAGGAGAGAGGAGGTGATCGGCGGGAAAACAAACAGTTTTAGGAATGATGGGAAGGTGTGGGGGGGAAGAATAAACTATGTCAAACATTCAAGGGAAGGAGGAGGTTGCAAAACAACAGAAGACTGGTTTCTTGGTATGAGGAAATTACTGTGCCGTCTGTGACCTCATTTATTTCTTCCACTGCCTCCGCCCCCTCCTCGTCTCCTGCTGCTTCTCCTTCCGTGGCTTCATCACCTGCCTCTCCACCCTGACCTTCCTCCTCATCAGCCACCTGTTCCTGCGCCTCTTCCTCCCCATGTGCATCGCCGTTGCGCTCCTCCTCCGGAACCTCCTTTTGGTGGGGTAAAAACACCAACGTACAATCAAAGAAAAGAAGTCACGCAATTGAAAACTATGGTTAATGGTTTGGATGGTCACCTCATCAGTGGGAGTGCTTTGGGAAAATTAGAATTAAAACGTTAGTCCTGTAGGTAGGTAGGCAGGGAGTGTAGTAGATGACAAGTGGGGAGGGAAATTGAAGGTTTCAGTACTTAGGAGGGAAAAGGTTATATCTGAAATCAAGGATTTGTGTTAGAGACGGACTGGAATCAAAAGGATGTACATGAACATACTCAATGATTAAAACTTTTATCTCATGGTGTTATGATAGTTTTATTGGGCTATCGCATAGGAAGAAACATATGCTGCCCTCATGTAAAGAGTTTTCCAGTTGCAGGCTTGGATCTATCTAAACAATGTTTGGCAAATTATCTGAGGTGTTCAGACCTGCCAGATTCCATCTAGCTAAACAAAGTGCAGGTCATTTGATTATTATGAGCCCTCTGAGTGTTGTGGTGGATTTTTCATCCTTTCTGTACTGGTTTCCTGACATAATAGAGACTGATGACTGCAGCTTTCTACCTAATCTGACTTTCATTGAGGAAATAGGCCTTTTCAGCAAACGACCAGCAAGCGTCAAACTGAAATTCTGGAAACAAAATGAATGAGTTTAGAATTCCATTTCTTCACGCAGTTGCACATCCACACTGAAACCTATTGAGTTTAAAATAAACAATCTAAATAAGTTTGGCTAGTCAGATTTCTGGTGTTTTCTTGTGTTGATTCAACCTCAAAAGCAGAAAAGGCACTTAAAAAATCTTGCGGCCATGTCAAAAACTTTTTTTTAAAACATCCATGCAGGAAAATCCATCTTATGAGGGGGTTTTGATCATTAAAATCATTAAAACGTCACGTTCATTGTAAGAAATATCCACCGCATAAACTGCAGCACCACCTGTGAGACTGGAAAGATTTGTATTCTTGGATTAAGACTGCAGGAAAGAGACATAATTCAGAGTCGAACATACAAAGAATACCTCCTGTAATTTAGCAAGTAATAAAACCCCAAACAAATAAAACATCAGTTCTAATTAAATACGATGGCGGTTTCGCGCCTCACCACCCTACGGCGGCCTGAATGAAGGAGGATCACAGTGTTCATGACAACAGAAAATATTAAGTAAATGTGCTGTGAAACCTCAAGCAACACAAAGATTAGTCGATATGATGGGAGGATCAAACGGCCATGGGGAAATTAATGTTGTCAATTATGACAGGAAGTGAAGCAGGTTATGCCACGTGAAGGGGGGGGTTGAAGCTAAGTGAAAAAGAAACAAAGTGTGGCGGGAAAAGGGGAAAGGTAACGGCGGCATTACTGCTGAGTCCACAGAGTTTTCCTCAGTGTGGGTCCCGTTCTCCAAAACGCGCTCCTTGTCAGCTAACGCTGCTTCCTGCATTAGGAAAATGATGAGGGTGAACACAACTTGTTAAAGAAGCACAACTCCACAAAACTATGTAACTGGGGAGTTGTGATAATACGATAAGACTAAATTAAGCTGTCTGTTTGTTCCTATTCCTAAAAGAGTAATCAGAGAGCTACATAGGGAATATGTTTTAAAAACCACATAATCTGTGCACAGCTCTTATCTTATCTTAATAGAAAACTAGCTTGCGTTGGATGTATTTCTTTGTTCCTTTGAGAAACTTTGAAAACTGTAAACAAAAAGGACAATTAAATATTGCGTAGAGCATAAAAAACAAAACAAACATCATAATATAAATTTTCACATTCAGTTAAACTAACTGCCAACATGCCATTAAAATGACTAGTTATTAAAACAGCAAGGATGAAGTGAAAGTGAGTCTCAGAGATAAGAATAAGTAGGTAATTCAACAACACATGAAAGATTTATTGGGCCAGTAATTCAGCCACCATGAGTAATGATTGTCATTGTGAATTCATGTAGAGTTTGCGCTTTGTGTTGTGAATAACACTAACATAATCTTAGCGACACTTCTTAAAAACTGTCGCGTCTGTGTGGATATACATGAGTTTTGGACTAGCGCCATGCTCTGTAATGAAAAGATCTTTTGGTGGTGATGCCAAACTTATTCCAAGACAGCCTGCATTCTGCATGTATTACAGCAGAGTGCAGCTCAGCCACTTGGGAGGGTGTGCACTGTGCTAATGCTGAAAACTTTATTAAAAACAAATTTTGGCTTATCAAGGGGTATTTTTTAAAAACTGATAATGCTACTCAGTAGTTAAAAACCACTGCTCTGTTTCATCATTTGATAATTTGTTTAAGATTATTAATATTATCCACATTTTAGTTTCAGCTTTGCTGGAAAACAGTTGTTTACAGCTTTATTGTTCATATCGGACCGCGCCCAAGTGAGTTTTTGAAAGCCAGCGTTCAAATTAACTGTACTTTTTTTTAAATAAGCCAGTATTTACATGTACATAGGGACAATGCTTTTTTGTTCTATAAGTCATTTGGTCCATATAGTCCACATAAGAGGATGATGAAACCCTTGTTAGTGCAGAAATAATGCAGATATTCAGGCAAGAAACTTGTATTAGACAACATTATCATTTTGTTGTAATGCTCAAAATCTTAGAGTCACCAAATAATGCATCACAAATTCAAACTAGATTTAAATCTAGTTTAATCTTTTCTATGGAACTTGTGTTCAATTTTGGTTAACAAACAACTCTGATAGCATCCATAGATTGAAAAAACTGTCAGAATCTGAACTGATCTGTTTTTCTTTGATAAGAAAAAGAAGAACAAAGCTCAAAGTTCCAACCTTTGACCCAGGGGGAGGAGGCAGCCCCAGGAAGGAATACACTGAGTTGTCCTCCTTAGCATCGAAGAATGTGTCATAATCCTGCATGGCAAAGAGAGAAAGATTCTTTTGAAGTGAAAACCACCTTAAGGTTGAGGAATGACAGCCACAAGTTGCAAGTGCAGTCCTTAATATAAACTTTTCAGAGGGGCTTATGGCCCACATCAGAATGGCATAATAGAATTCCACATTTTGGAGCAGACAACGGGTGAAAAAGAGTAGGCGTGTTTATTTATGCTCACTCACCCCGCAGTAGCTCTCTTCATTGAAAATCTGCGGAGGTAGAGGGATGCCGTTTGCTGGCTTCTTCTCCTCTGGGACGTTTTTTCTCATCCACATCCGGTTATCCTCGTTGCAAGCGATGTCCAGCTCAGCGTAGTCCACTTTAAGAGCCTCCAAGAAGCCCACCACATCTTGCTGCTTTTTCTTGATCTGGGACAGAACGAGCAACATCACACAGCTTGCACAGATCGTGTGCTGACTGCTCACTGTGGGGGGAGAAGTCTGCCATGTTAACGTTTTAAAGGTTCTGGATATTAAGGGACAGTATTGGTTTACATCAGGGACAAGATGCTCCCTTTTCTTCCCTGTTCCACAAGGGTTGAGACCATTACAAACTGCTTTAAATCTTCAAATATGACCTTTTCTGGACATTTATAATACTTTGAACTATAGAGAGTAGAAAATGTCATGAATAATTCATTTTCGGGGGGGGTTGGCCACGTAGATTGAACTCTTTTCACATATCTTTTTCAACAAGCACTTCAAATTATTCACTTTAAGCCATTGTTGAAGATAGAGCAGTGCAGTCAGTGATGAAGTGTCATCTGCTAATTTTGGTAAGAGGACCAGACAAAGTTGGGTGAGAGCCAGCATACAAACAAGTCCACTCAGAGGACAAAGCTCTGGGCTTTGGGTTGTGGGACAGCCCTGCTAACTACTGAGCAAACAAGCCAGCACTGCTTCAAACTGCTTATATAGCTTTGCCAAAAGTAGATCCAGGGAGTGATTCACCCTCCCCGCAACAGTTATCACCCCACCTAGCGCACACGGATCACTTTAATACATATCTGACCACCGATATGACCATCAAAGGGCCAGTTTTTTAGGGTAAAACTCTTAGCCAACGCCATTTGTAAGCTCTGAATAATAAAAATTCGAGGCTCCGTTATTTGCAAAAAAGTTTTGGAGCCCCTGTGCTGGAAAGCGCCGCGCGTAAATCACATCGATTTGTGAGATCATTAAACAAAGAACACTCCTCAAATTGGAATTAACACACACTTCAAGCCAAGATGATTTACGCATTTGAAATCAAGTCAATTTAGATATTTTTAACCCGCTGGAGTCATTGTGGGTGACAGTCGTGGTCTGTTGAAGCGGTTCAACCTGCAAAAGTTGGTCCACGGGGACCCTTAGTCGCGCTTTTGGAGAGCTTACCGCTGTGGATCCCGATGAAGAGGCGAGGAACACTTTGATGACCATTTTGTTACTGAATATTTGGTAGAGTAATATGCAACAAGAGGGGTCTTAAAGGAGCAGGCAGCCTCCTCTATTATTAGAGCGCACCCAGGACGGGGACATAGCAGTGAGATCACACACACATACACGCACTGCGGGAGTTATTTTTGTCTCCGGGCTCCATTAGTGAGGGATTGGTGGGTGGGTGGGCCCCTGAAGGAGGAGGAGGAGGAGAGGAGGGGGCGCCTTGCACACTGATTGGCAACTTCAGCTGTCTGTTCGTACTGGGGGACAGAGAAGTTGGTTTCCAAGTCCTTCCCGAGGAGGACAGGAATAGCAGTAACCGACACTGTGGATCTCAAAGGCGAGGATGCGAGACCCCAGCACGGAGGAGCCCCCAGGTGCTTTTATGGAACACACATATGTCCATCCTAACAGGTCCCTCACTGCGTTGGGCTGCCTCTGATATTTGTCCGGATATTTATTCAATCTTTACAATTAAAACATTTTCACATGGTTATTGAAATTAAAGAAAAATAGATAAATAAATAAACGAGTGTTTGTCTTGTTTAAGTGGGTTTGGTTCCGTTTGTTTTCTTGTTTAAACAGCTTCGCCGTTCCATCTTACCAGTCCGCCTGTAACCATGACAACAGTGTCATTACGAATATTTGTTAGCGTCTTTTGTAATGAACCGATGCACCGTTTTATATGTAGCAGCGTGTCAGTGTCCTAAAAGTGCGCGACGGACTTCGTGGGCACAAAGTTTGACGTGGAAGAGGGGCGTCTCTTACTTTACTCGGACTCAGTATGCATGCCCGACAGCAGGCCTCTGGCCCGGAAAAAGAGCCTGATGCTGACTCCATGAGCAGTAGCACTGACACCTCCAGGTGGTCCACTCCATCCAGAATGTGCTGCAGCTCTGAAGATCCACGGCACTCATTTGGCTCTGGGGAGAAAACTGGCTCTCCTCTGTCCTGGGAAATCAAGTCGGGCCAAAAGTTAGCTGGAACTAAAAAAGGCAATTGGATCATTTATTTATCTGTAGTATGTATTTCACCTTGCCTTGACCAACCGAGTGAGGCTTTTTCTTTTCTCCTCCGTAGGTTTAAGAGTCCAAGCGAGCACCAGAAAGAAGACGAACCGTCCGATACTGAAGCTGCCTGCGGTCAAGCCAGTGGAGGGTTCGAAGCTGAGGGTCCATTCTGCCACCACAAACTGCATCAGGCAGCTGAGGAGCCAGGTGTCAGACCTGCAGCAGCAGCTGAGTGAAGTCAATAATGAGAACAGGCTGCTGAAGACAGTCCAGCATCGCCACACAGTGGCACTACAGCACTTCCAAGACTCAGAGGGCAGCATTTCACAGGTTGGAGTGGTCACTCTGGCATGGCTCAGTCACGCTTTCCTCACTTTTTTAAGTCTTCCTGTCTATTACTTCTCGGCTTTTCAAACAATGCCAGTGTTTCCTCACGAGCACCAGCACTAAAATCACACTGTTCTGGTCCCAGGTCATAGCCAAGCATGACAGCGAGGTCAGGGCCCTTAAGGGCTTGCTCCGCGGCACCCGCATGTGCCGGGACAACCTCGCCAGGCAGCTACAGGCCACAGAAAACAAGCTGCGTCACACAAAGGCCAATCTACAGCACCTGCAGGTGCTCAGCCAGGACCAACGCCTCCTGGAGAGGGACGAGCTCACCCAGAGGCTGGCCCAGACCACGGCAGAGCTGGGAGAGAAGAATAGGAGGATTCAGGTGAGAGGGCTGGTGGAGGGGGAAGGTGGAGGTTTGCATGGGATGCTGAGACACACTTTGCTGCTCTGGGATGCCTAACATCCTCGATTTCAACATGCCATTTTACTAATTTCTTTGTATTTTCAACATATTCTAGGACATGGAGAGGAATCTTGAATTGTGTCAAGCCTCGTTCAAACGCCAGATAGCCACTGAACAAAGAAAGATCAGAGAGGCAAGAAGTCTATCCTTTTATCTACAAGACCACATCATTCAGCTGACCAGAGGAATCCAGGCAAGTTGAACTTTCACATCACCCACATCTTAAAAAAGAATCGCTATTGAATTTATACTCCTCATACAGGTTAAAATTTCTGAGATTTAGGCCTTATGTTTGTTTTCTTATTCTTGTTTGGGAGTGACCAATAACTCTGAGCTTTGAATTCTGAGAGTTAAGTTTTTAGTCTGTTTCTTGGTTACTTTGCCACAGATAGATACCTAATTTGTATGTTTTTTTGTTTATTATAACCAATACAGGACAGAGAGAAGGAACTGGAGAAGCACAACATTTACTTCCACAGATTCCTTCAGTCATCAACCAAAAAAGGTACACAAAGTTAAAATAATAAGCAGGGAGATTACTCCTTAGTAGCTATTTGATACCTTTTATATTTCCAAGGTAGAGAAAACAAGGTTATTCAGACAGATGGATTAGAAAGGACGCCATCAAAAGGATCAAAGCTGTTGTATGATCTGATGATCACTTATTCTGATAATGAAGAGGGGCCCGAACAGCAGGAGATCTCTGTCAACTGGGTAAACTTATTCAAATATTGTACATGTGCAGTCTATTTATGCTAAATGATATTACAAAGGTTTCGGTTGTTTTTGTAATAATTAGTTTAAACAATCTCATACTGGTAATCATTTCAGTCGTTTAACAATCAAGAGGAGGAGTCAATGATAGCAGAAAACCCAGTCAGAGAGCTTTCCGCACGAGAGGAGATCCACCAAGAGGAGATCCACCAAGAGGAGATCCACCAAGAGGAGACTGAGACATATGAAGGTGAATGTTTCGGTTTTCATTAATCTTAAACTGCTAACTGAGCCAAGACTTGTGGCTGGTTTGTAGCACATACACAAGGCGGTGTTGTGTCTGCAGGAGGATGGTGCTAAAGAGGGGAAGATATAGTTTTTAAAATAAAAATTAGCAACTGAAATCAGGTTAATTATGTTTTATTGGTAAAATGAAAAAAAAAGTATGGCTCTGCTAATCCACCACCACACTGTGTAGTAGACAAGAAGCACTTTAAACAAGTTGTATTATGTCTCATTACAGGCAGATGTGTGTCCTTAGGTCTCTCTGAGCTGTTCAAAGAGAACACAAGTGAGAGCAGCTGCACAGAAGAGAGATCAGAAGACACCCCAGAACATCAAATTGAGGACAACTGTTCGTGGAATTGTGACTGTGTCTCTAACTGTGCGTCTAATCCCATGGAGCCATTGGAGCCAGCAGGGGCCCCACAGGTGTTCCAGGAGCAGGAAGCAGAGCATGAGACCGAAACAGCCTACATTTTAGAGAAGTCTCTTGAAGCAATGCAACTGGAAACAAAAAAATACAAGCTCCCAAAAATCAGACGCAGGTACACATTCAAACAGTCTATAGAGAACCTGCATAATGGAAAGCCTGCCTACAGCTTTGCCGAGCTGTTCCCAGGTGAAAACACCACGAGCACAACAAAGATGGTGGACCTCTGCAGTGACAATAAGGACCTCTGTCTATCAGAGGGTAAACTCAGGGGAAGTGGAGAAGAATGTTCTCTGCCTGAGATAAAGGAAGTTGGAAGAGTAAGCGTGAGCTTACGTTGACTTCTAACAGTTACACCTTCCAGCTAACAGCACACTCCTTTAATTTACTCAGAGACTACCTGACTTTTTTTGCTTTCTGTGGGAGCAACACAATAAAGAAAACAGATGTATTTTTCTCTGGTCATCTTTTATTCAAAAGAAACGTCATCATAAGTGATCGAAAACATCTGTGCACACACTCTAAATGAAAATAATTTGAACAAAAACATTCAAATTTCACTTAAAAGACAATAAATTAATGCTGTGATAAGAAAAAGTAAAAACGCACTGCATTTTTACATTCTGGTCAGCAGACAGAAATGGACAAAACAATCTGGGGTCACTGCAGACATCTCTAGCTGATGACACTGAGCCCCAGAGTGACCACTTTGTTACAAACCACCAGCCAGCATGTGATCCCCACTCCACCTGGAGAGGAAATGTGAAAGAGCATTATACATGGTCTTGTAGATAACATCCAAATATACTGTGTGTATAACAATAATTTAACTTTATTGGTCAAAAGAGTGCAAAAAAAATCAATAAAACTGGTTTTACAAGATGTCATTGGAACCAACTTTAGTCCTCCTAGTTTATGTAATCTGAACCAATCGTTGAGCAAGTAATAAGAAGTTCTAATAATCAACAATTTCGTGTGATGCTCTCACGTCCTAAACATTACGTTCAGTTAATGCTAAATGACCTATCCTGTTTGTATAATTGAAACGGTTAAACATTCCATTAAGTAGTAAACGGCGGCTTCTTACCAACTACTCCTGTTGGGAAAGCCACAAGGCGCTCCACAGGAGCAATCCACCTACTGGGTACCACAGTCACAGGATCCGAGTAATACTTCCATATCAAAGATATCATCAATGCAGCCTGAAGAATAACAGAAAAAAAATCCATTAAAAGAGCCTGTACTTTCATTCAGAATTTAAATTTTCATGGTGCCGTCACCTCTTATGTTCTGAAATAATAAGAATCAAATTCTCAGTTACTTTGAGATAGAGGTAAAGAACAGGACAGATGAAGGTACTCATACATTTAAGTTTAGTTACAATGCAATCGGCATAACTCATTTGTGTTTTCCATATGAAATGTACACCTACCTGCAGGATGTAAAAGACAATGTTAACGACCCATTTCATCTTGGCTTGTTGGGCAGTTCTTGATTTCACTGTAAAAGGGAGGGAAGGGGGTTACTATTTAACACGATTAAATCTATTTATTCATCATGATGTAATCGAGACGTTATAATTACCGCATTGAAATAGTTTTTAAGTCAGTGAAAACAGTGAAAGTGTTGGCAGCAGTCTGAAGTCATAATATCTTTTAAAATATCATTATATTCCCTAAAACAATGAGAAACTTCAGCTCATTTTGAAGCACTCACATAAAGGCTCTTCTGTGTAACACCAGTTGGTTCAACGAGACGTGATGGACAGGGGCAGGTAGCAGCTGTTCTCAGCTAATAGTTTTTAAGCATCAAACTTCCAGCCACTTCCTGCAGTTGCTGGTTGTATGAGAGCAAACCTACACAGCTGCGGAAGCCACAGCATGGGCCTCTTACAGCCCAAATCACAATGCAGGCATGTCTGTGCTCCTTTTCAAAGGTGTGCAGGAGTCAACTTAAATATAACCAAAATTCTTGAGTCATGCTATAAATGGCATATTTCCTAAAATTTGTGTTTACATTTTGTCTGACCTTTCCGATGTGCTTATTTCTCATGTTGATATGTGTACAACAGCTGGATGGCACCGTTAAAAGCCTCTCAAATTCTTATGTTTGGAGTTTCTTGTGAACCTGCTTAACATATTACTGTTTATCTCACCATGCGTTTTCAGCTTGTCTGTTGTTTTGTTAATTTTCCGCTCCAATCTTGCATATCTGGCAAACTCATCCATCATGCTGATGGAGGCCTGCTCTTTCTTCATGTCCTGGATCTCAGATCTCATCTCACTCTCCTGATCAGCGTCTTTCTGCACCATCTTAGAGAGCTTGAAAGAGGGGAAATTGCTATCACTAAACACAAAGACACTCTGGGTTTGATTGGAACATGGAGTTAACAGCCATGGCTTAATGACAAAATGCTTTCGAGTCAGCAAGAGGAGGCATTCATGGCTAAATGTAAACGTTTCTGATATATCCAGTATGATAAGCTACATTTAATGCTAAACGCTATGTTCGATAGTGAACTTTATCTGTAAGGCCCATTAGTTAAATAGTTATCTAATGTTGCAAAGGAGAAATTACATTTAAACAGTGATAGAAAACAACGTTTTCCCCACGTATAGAAAGTAAATACAGTGGGCTGTATGACCCCACCCTCTGGATGTAGTTTCGAAGCTAGCAAGCTCACGTTACCCTCATTAGCATCACTCGCGCGGTTAGCCTCCCAGAAGCTAACAGACGGCGCTATAAGATTACACTGACTTTTATGAAACACATGGCAAAGCCTTCTGACAGGCGCCTACTACCTGCAAGCGTACTTACAAAAGAGGAAATTGAAGGAAGGAGTGCTTTCATGAGATTGCACAGAAAAACAGAGCACAACACCAGGAACCACGCATAGCTGGTCGCCATGTTTCCCCCTGTAGTTAGTCAGTCAGCCTCCTCCTTGTTGCAGCTGTGGAGCCCCTGAACAGCCCAGACAGATCGTGCTGATCCGAGTATAACTTACTCTAGCCCAAACTCTCTTAGAATGAACACACTAGGTCACAAAACCAGGGTATCAACTTGATCATGGTATTCTTTTAGAATAGCACATTGGAAGAATATTCATGACACTTTGTTTGCATGCCGGTTATTCAATAATATATTAATGCGGCTACTGGTTAAAATTCCACTTTTATATCTATTTAATTGCACGAACCATTAAACCATTCTCCACTTTTGAAGCACGTACACACATGTACCCTTGGGGCATTAACAGTCCGTGGTTAAACGTGAAAGTGGGCTGAGATTGGCACACTACCCTGCCCACACAGGTAAGATGTTATGGTTCAAAATGAAGCAGTCTTCAGCTCAAAGCCAATCACTGGCACTAAGGGGCGGGGCTTCACTCCTCCCGGTAGGTTGGTAGGATAAGGGATAAAATATACAGAGAGAGGGATCCAATCCGGTTCGAGCTGGTTCTGGTAATGGTCGAACGTTAATGTTACGTTACAAACTGTCCTGTAAGTGTAGACTGAGGTGTACGGCTGACCCACATTTCCTATAGTTTTCTGAACAGTTAGAGGTTGTGTTGTCTTTGTAGCTCCGCCGCACAGTCTTAAGCAACAATGGGAAGAAAAAAAGTAAGTCCAAAACGTGTGCTTCACGTCGAACGCGATTCTTCTGTTTCACTCATTTTGCAGATATTGAAATATGGTTACAAGTACGGGCCGTTCTGTTTTCGGTGTGTTTTTTAAAGCGTCCGCGCGCTGGGTCGTAACGTTGGGGTGGAATAATGGCCACAGCGTGGACGTGCATGCATGAAATCCACGTTCGACACGCTCCGGTGTGTCGTGTTATTCCTGAGAAGTGGCGCCTTTTTACTCTGTGCATGGAAGCGTGCCGTCTCCTCGGATAACTCGCCCAGTTGCACAATCTCGTCTCGTGCTTCGGCAGCTTCGACGGTGTCCGGTCATGTTTTTTACTGGCTGCTCTCTGTACCTCTGCCACCAGACAAAGGGGTGTAACCAACCGTCGAGGTACAGGTTACAAGTTACAGAAATTACGGCCGCAACTGCTAATAAAGAATACCTGAACGTGTTATTCCTAATTAGTGTGGGGGGGTTTGCACGTAAAGATGTCGAAGCATCGCTTAACTCGGATTTGTACCTCCCGACCTCGCGCCCGGTAAAGATGGTGCGTGTCACTCTTGAGGTGTACGCTGCTTTTCTTGAGGACCATCATGGCAGCTGTCTCTCGGGAAACGCAGCGACGCGCCCGTTCGTCTTGATGTAAACACCAGCACGCCGTTGTATTTATTTTATAAGAACGTTGGGAACCGTTTTATGGGGCTTTAATTCGATTTTTCGGGACAAACGCGTTCGTGACATGAATGTGGCGCGCGCGGAGGTGGGGCGACTCTTGTCCAGAAGTGGCCACGGCGCACACCTTTATTCCAAAAGAAATAAAAGTCTGCTTTACTGTAACGTCCGGACATTATTGACCTCGGAGCAGACCGAACCTTCTCGGACAGTTTGGCACGAGCCGGACCCTCACCACGTAGCAATCATATTGCATAATTTCTTTGTGACCCAATGGGAGGGAAAATTGCCCATCCCCCCAGTTTTTTTTTTTCGCTTCACACACCCACTTTAGCTCACTCGTGAATGGTGGTTGTTCGTGCCTTATTAATTTCTCTTGTCTCCTTTTTTCCAGTCTGCCACCGATACCGAAGGAGGTGCAGAGGTCAGTGTCCAAGTTTAAGCGTCCGAAGTGGACATTTTGTCCAACACTTTGCCATATTTTCTTCGTTCAGTGGTCCCCAGTTTCTGTCCTGTAGATGTTCCCATTAGGTCCAGCGTACAGATTGAGTTTAGGGAGCAGTTTATCCTCTGGGGGGCGCAAGTCAGTCTTTTACCACAAAAGTACATTGTGTTAACTTGCTTTTTGCTTAGTTAAAATGTAGAACATCATGTTATTTGATCCTGTAGGGTGTGAATCAAGCACCTTTACTTTTCAAATTTGATATTTTATACATATATATTGTTTCAGACAGCTGTTATGTTGTTTGTGTAAACAGGAAGGAGAAGCAGAATATTTATCAGACATTTAAATGCCACCTATATACTTCATGTAAATGTTACTTGCTCATCTGAGGGTAGAAAGGGAGCTGAAAGCTTATTTTAGTTTTCATACAAAATACCCCTACTTGATCAGGTTCTCAGTATTTTCCAGACTCTTAAAAGAACACAACCCTGTGCTCGTCAACACTTGATGTAATTATCTGTGTTCTTTGTTGTTTTTTTAGCCAAGGCGAAAGTCTCAAAGGTTGTCAGAGGTAAGAACCACACAGCTCTGCAAAGACCCCAACATCTGAACAAAGATGAGTTTGTTTTGTTTTTGCCTGTTCATTTTATGGTGTTTTTGTTTGTTTGTTTTTTACAGAAAGAGACACAGCCGAAGCCACAGCCTGAAAAAACAAAGGTAAAATCATAAAGCATGGGATAAGATGTATCCATTAAAGACATGTTTTTTTTAAAATGTATTTTTAAACTAGGTTGGTGGTAGATTGTATCTTTTGATTTAAACCTCACAGGCAACTCCAAAGGCCAAAAAAGTGAAAGAGCCAGCAAAGGCCAAGGTGGAGGAGAAGAAGAAGAAGGAAGAACCTCAGGCAGAGAAGGAAGTTCCTGCGGAAAACGGAGAAGCCAAACCAGAGGAGGTATTCTAACTGTGGTTCTGTCTGACTCACCGTTGCAGATGGGTCGGACCCACAGTTAAAGGGTTTTCTCCATCCTTCTCATAGGCCACACCAGCAGAGGAGGAGGAAGAAAAAAAGGAAGAAACAGCTGAGGAGGAAGAGGAGGAGGAGGAGGAGGAGAAAACAGATGACTAGTAGAGCCGGTGCTTCTTGTACCTTCTTTTGTTGTAAAATGCAGAGAATATTTTTATCCACTATTTTCTTAAGACAGCAATGTTTTTAAGGGTGTAATTTGCAGTTTTTTTTCTTTTTTTTCTTTCTTAACTTTTCATCGACCTATCATGGTTTCCGTGAAGGGAATGGTTTCCTCTTGTTGTGTTCTCATGATTATGTTAGGTTGTAGCTTTTTCTGCCTGAGATGCAATCATGCCTTTATCAGGAGTGGGAGTGTGTAACAGGATATTTTTGTCACCTGTACCACTTGGTGCAGCACATCAAAATACTGTGTGTTTGACAGCTAAATGTATGATTTGAAAGTTTGAGAGTTGTTCTGTACTTGCAGCATTCACATTAGTCATTCTTACAGGAAGTGGAGTTTTTCTTTTTTTTTATGGTACAGCTGAGAAGAGCTAATATGACCAGTGCATTATAAACAGTCACACTTATCACGGTTTACCCTGTTGAAATGTGTTTTTGGGGGATTTCTCTATCATTGTACAGGTTTCTCCTTTTAAAAAATGTTTTTTTTTAATGAATGGTATAAAATGCCAATTAAAGCGGGAATTTCTTTATAGTAAATTTGTCATCTCTTGTCGTTTTTCTGAACAAATGCTTCAGGAAGCGCTGTATTAGAAATGTTTGAGGCTGATTATCTCATTTTAAAGAAGTTTCTCAGTTAATAGAGAATATGTGAACTGATGCAAATTAAATCCATGCCACCCCTAAATTGTTACTGTAAATAATTAGTTTAACAGAAAAAATAGTTGATGGATCTTAATGTAACATTTTTGCAGATATTTACAGCATAATTTTGTATTTGATGCACAACTGTATATATCAGCAATGAGACTAGTTGTGTAAAAATAAAAACATTTAATTCTTCTCTTCAGTTTCTAGTCGAGGGTTAGGTATAGTGCATTTAGGCATAGTCTATTATACCTCTACATGCAGTTCTATGCTGCACAAGGACTGTGGTTGTACAATATTGACAGAAAACATTTGATTAGTTGAAGGAACCAAGCAAAAATAGTAATTTCTTTGTCCAAGCTCAGCAAAAATAATTTTTACAGAACTGACACCACAACAATTACAGTTCCTTTTTTATGAATGTATGTCTGTATTACTACCTAAATTAGTTTTTAAGAGCTTCCACTGCATTTTCTTTGTCTCGCATTCATAGAATCACAAATGTGTAGGTTCCTCAAAAGATGACCGCATTAGACTGATTGTAAGGCAAACCTTTGTGTGTGGCTTCAATAGGACATTTTAACTGGAAACTCGATTCCATTTAGCTACTACTTTCCAAATATAGGATCCGTGTTGATTTGGGGGATTACATTTTAAAGTTAATGCTGACATCTTAAAATATGGTATTTACTCGAATGTTTCAATGCAAAGCACTCAGGGTAAATAACATATTTTAGTTTTACTTTATCTCAAGGTTTGACTAATTTTCAAAGGCTATAACTAACATATCGATAAAAGCAGACTGGTGACCATTATCGGTGACGTCATGTGTAGAATTCACGACCTTGGTCTTAAGAAGAGGAGCACTCATGCGATAACGGCTTTAGTGTATTTATCTTTTATTTGAATTGCTTAGTTATGGCGTGCATGTGGGTCGGAAATCATACTTTTACCCAATTTTACGCTTAAATAAATCGAATGTTGCTCGGCTACATGCTAACGTCTGCTCGTGTCTTTTGTTGAGAAAGCTCCTCCCCACCCCCTTTTTCCTGTGTTACTCCGCTGTGGCGGAAGTAAGTCGTATCGCCGAAAGGCCTCATCCTTCCAATGGCGACTGCAAACGGGCTGAATAGAAAGCGGGAGCAACCGTGGAGGGGGTCAGCGCTGTGTTACTGAAATTAAATAAATATATCACATTCACTATAGCCATAAAGTTAGCCGAATATTTGTTTCACCTCCCCCATATACGGCCGATTCAATGGCCAGAAATCGGAACATTTCGCTCCTTGAGTCGGGTAAGTAGCAGAAGTAAACCCAATGGATAGCTTGATTTACATCGATAACGCTCGTGCTAATTGATTTCCCAATTGCTTTACTGGATATTGACGACTCATTGCTCAATTGCAGAGCTCTATTACTTGATTTCTCGTTTCCTTACTACGGGTCCATGTCGGAGAGCGGCTGAGGTGAGCTGGCGTGCTTTGACTAGCGCAGTGTGTTGTATTTCAACATAGTTTTGACGAGCTAGTTGACAACAATTAATAGGGGCTTTGTGGTTTGAATCGCGATTTTGATCTTCCGCAGGTCCTGGCGAGCGAACTAGAGGAATATCAGGTGTGTATTTTCGCTGTCTGTGGTTGCTAGTTAACTGCTAACTAGCTGCTATCCATTGCTCTTTACGGGGACGGGGCATAAAACTTGTTCAACTCTGTCTACTTTTTAAATCCCCCCCCGTGCGTCTCACTCGTTTGACATCACCCGGTTTTAAGTAAAATGCGTACCTGCTCGCTATTTTTACGGTAATTCTTCTTGATCAAACTCTCTTTTCAACAGCTCTTACCCGGGAGATTGGACTGGCTGGGGAACGAGCACTCGAGAACATATGGAGATGTGGTGAGATTTATTTTAATATCTTCTAGGTTCATTGTCGGCTGTTGTTATTGTCTTGTGACAGGGGGCTGCGTGTCCACGCTCTGTGCTTGTTTACGGTCTTTGTTCTTTCCCCCCACGACGAGTGTTTGAAATTCTTGACTTGTGATAATAGACAAAAATCATTCCTGCTCCGGCAGACTAAATTGATTTGGGTAAACAGTTGAAGGGAGCAGCAAAAAAGGATAAGTGAATAGGAAGTTAAATGTTATTTCGTCCGGGCAGTGATACTGCAGTCAGGGTGGGTAGTTCGGCTTCTTGCTTTCTCGAGACCGTTCTGTTGGCCAATCACAATCCGAGATGTTCTGTCTCTGCGTTGTTTTGCATGTGACCTGCAATGCGATTGGTCCTTTAAAAAAAGAATATTTGCATAAGAAGCCACGCCCAACGGAATAAGGGTTGAGGCACATTAAACAGTTACTTTGTCAGACTTTGTTGTGTTCTATCTCGGTGTCTTATAAGAGCATGCTGGAAATTTTTAACCCTTTAACAGAAAATTAACTAATTCAATCTTGTCTACTGCAGAACCTTAGAATGCTAATCTATCTTTATATTTCATATGATTCATATGATTATTGGTAGTATAACTTAAATCCATATTTCCATAGAAGGCTTGTAGATCAGATATGTGTCGAATCAGCTCAAATTTACCATAAAATATCTAACTTTTTTTAGTCACACCCTTCAGAAAAAGAGATCCCACAGAATTTAGGGGAGCACAAAAATAATGTAAATGAAAGCTACTAAAGGTGAATGAATAGTTTTGTCAAAAGGAAAAAACTTAGCATTAGTTGTGAATTTATTTTCTCAATAAAACTGAAATTCTATGTGTTTTTGTTTTTTTTACCACATGCTTAAATCTTGTTTCAATGTTTCATTTCAATGTTTATTTTTTGTTAGATTTTTGTCTTTGAATTTCTTACTTCATTCGAACATGTTCTTATTTTAAGAAATTGTAGTTTTGTATTAATTTGACGTGATCTGTTGGGTTAGGATGTGTGCCAGTGCCAAGTCTACTACTTTAGTTTTGTTTGCCCTGACAGGTCGCAGCCAACAGACATATCGCACCAGACCATTTGCTCACGATATGCAAGCAAATCGGACCACTCCTTGACAAAGAGGTGCCATCATGTGTCCCAGGTGTACACTCTCTCCTGGGGTCTGGAAAACAGTCTATGCTCCGGACTGCAAAAGGTAGATTCTTCATAGAATAGTCCGTGTATGTGTGTGGGGCTTTATTTGATACTACATTCATTTGATTCTTTCTGCTTTAGTTGCCTACAGTTTTTGCAGTGCAAAACATTCACATCACAGAAATGTTTCCACAGTTTTCTGCATTTATCTGCTCAACTCATACATCTGTCAGTGAACTGAATCATTGTGTGAACTCTTTTGTTTTGATTTTTTCTCCCCCTCAGACTGTGACGGTGTACGTTTTCAAGCTTCATCTTTTGCAGCCCTTCACCGGGGCAGACCACCAGAGATCCCTTTAAACTGCAAGAAACCTCCACACCTGGGTAAGTTTGAACTTATGATGCAAATCTCTGTTTGTTTGGTAAGAAATTAAGTGGCCCACCGGATCTGCTTGATTTGGTGTTGCCTAAAGGTTGTTGAATAAATGACTAATATGCTAATTTGTGAGAAGCCCTTCTCTTTGGCTAACAGTCATTGGCACTGTTTGATAGCCTGCCATGACGAAAGCTGATGGCTAGCCTTGTCAGATAGATTGGACCTTATTATTATTAACCCTGGAGAGTAATGTCAAATTAATTTTATTCAGAACTCCTTGAAATAGTGATTTTCGATTTGCCTGATGCTGTAGGATTTCACATCATCTCTCCTACCTCTTATTTAGTATTGCCTTCTATTTTCAAACGGTCAGTGCAGATGTCGGACTTTAGGATGTTAAGGTGTTTTTATGAGTGTACGGAGCAAACCTTTCAGGCGGTTTGGAACCAGGCTCCTCTGCATTGTTGTTCAGGATTTCTTGCTTTTTCTTATTTCAATAATCATAAACAGTAATCTTAAGACCTCATTCTGTGTTTGTGGACACCTATGTGCCTCAGTTTGTTTTCAGGCTGCATAGAAAGTGTTTTGTAAAGCTTTCAAGTACACAGATTCATAAAAAAATTGGAAAGACAGAACTTCCGCTCCCCAATAAAGAAATGCAATCTTTTTTGACACGTATGCAATACTCTGTTTTTAAGTTATGACTGAGCAAAAGGATTGGCGAACTGCTGGCACGTCTGGAAGCTTTTAATTCTGTAGTTTTTTCCAAAGATGAGATATGAAAATTCTGGAAATTAGTGAATCACAATTTATGCATAGACAAAAGATCTCCCCCACATAATTCACAAGAACTGCAGCCTGAAGCAGAATGAAAAGGTTTAAAACTCAAGGCACCAAACAAAAAAAAAAAGGGACAGATGGAAGTCTTGTTTCTCTTTGTTTTGTTGTTGTTTTTTTCTTCTTCGTAGCAACAGATGCAAACCAGATGAGTTTTTTGAAGAGCAGCAGAGATATTTCTGCTCACAGAACTAGTTGGATTATGATGGGCAGTTTCACTGAAACAAAGATATGTCAGAGGTGTGATTTGACTACATAGAAATATGAAGAAAGGTGGCTTTCTGACTAGGAGAGATTTATGACATTCAGCTTGTATTTAGTGCTTCATGTGGAGACGAATCTTTATGGGAAGTCACTCTATTAATACATTTGACGAAAGAAAAGTAAAGTCTCTTCTTGCATTTTCTCAGATGTAGTTTATCGTGTGATGATCCCCCCCCAGGCCCTGCCCTCATTAGAGTATATATATATATATATATATATATATATCTCATGCCTACTTGTTGGGACTCCAGTCTGGTTTCTGCTCAGTGTTTTAATTTTTTTTGGTTTTAATTAAGTGTTGTCTTTTGCCGTCTACAGTGAAGGTGCATCGGGGGAGAGAGCTGACAGGCGTGCAGCGCTTCAGCTCCATCAGTCCTGTCAGTAACTATGAGCACATGCGTCTGCACAGGCGGATCCTAGGGCATCTGTCTGCAGTGTACTGTATCGCATTCGATCGCACGGGTCTCAGGATCTTCACAGTAAGACAGAAGTAGTTTCCGCAACCAACAACTTCAGAATAATCCCGGCACACGTGCCTTTGAAGGGATCCTAAAGCCGTGAGTTGTTCTTTTCTTTCTCAGGGCTCAGATGACTGTTTGGTGAAGATTTGGTCTTCGTTCGATGGAAGGCTTCATTCAACGTTGCGAGGCCACTCTGCAGAGATCACAGACTTGGCTGTAAACTATGAGAACACGCTAATTGCTGCAGGAAGCTGTGACAAGACCATCCGTGTGTGGTGCCTTCGTACCTGTGCCCCTGTGGCTGTGCTGCAGGGTCACAGTGGATCCATTACCTCCCTCCAGGTAAAGGAACCTCTGCATTCACATATTCTAACCTTCCGTTCGAAGAGGGCAGTCTGTTCTACATTTGAAAAAGTTAGGCACCTCTCGTCAAATCCACTTATTTGTTCCCTGAATCAGAAACTGCAAAACATTTTACCCCAAGACCTGGTCTTTCCTGTCAGCTTAGGCCTCAAAGTGTAGCAGACACTGTATGATGTGGTTTAGGTTTTTGAGATAGATTTAAAAATGTTGGTCGCTGTTTAAATTTCTCTCGCTAAGGAGGCTAAACTTTCCAAAGGATTAACTGAGAGGGAGTCTGGTCACAAAAGTGTGTGAAAACACTGACAGTATTCCATCCATCCATCCATCCATTATCAATGCCGCTTATTCCCTCATGGGGTCGCGGGGGGAACTGGAGCCTATCCCAGTGGTCAACGGGCGAGAGGCAGGGTACACCCTGGACAGTCCGCCAGTCCATCGCAGGGCCTGCGTGACAGTATTCCCTTCGGGTTATTCCTTATGGCCCACCACGGATGTGCACCTCCCAGCTCTCCTCAGCAGCTTCCCTCTCCATTTAACTGTTAATGCTGCCTTGTGGTTCGTCATTTAGGGTATTTCTGTGTTTAAACATACCCACAGCCTCAAGGTGAGCAGCTTTTGAGAAACGTTTGAGACATTCTGAAAAGTCACTCAATCTTGCTGAGCAGGCTAAAGTGAGTCAACAAGTCTGCCTCCTGACCTGACTCTACATTGATATGGTGTGTGTGTTTGAAGGGGTGGGGCTGACGTGGCATGTGTCTGTGTGAGATAGAGGGTCTCAATTGATGCATTGCAAGCAAGTTTCCCAGTAATAGACAACTTTACTTTTTGCAAACATACTGAAAAGTATACATATATATATATATATATAAACTGGATAACAAATGCACATTGGAGTGCTCTGTTAGACCTACGCATCTTCATAGAATTTCATCTGTGTATAAAAAAATTCTTACTTGAAATATATCCTAATTTGAGGGCTCAGTCAGATCTCAGGCCGGCTTCACACCAGAAATATGGAATATGTGAAACACCATGATTTTCATATCTGCCACCTTGATAACAGAGCAGAACTGCAGCTGGGTTTTTTTTGGTTGTTTTTTTTTTTAAAGTCTGATGCTTATTTTCCATGCATGAGTAAATCATTATGAAAGCAGTTCTCAGCAGAACCCTTGCCCTTACTCTAGCAACAATCCAGTTTCGATTGCAGTTAGTGCTCCCATTATCCCCCTTAAAGACGCTTTCAAGAGGTGATCCAGTTCACTGCATATGGTTTTGTGTCATTTTAGCATATATACGCGAGTGCTGTTTGACTAAACTGGGCATTATTCATGTGTTCACTTTAACAAAACAGTCTCATCTGTTATGAATTATTCAAAACCATGAAACATTTACATCTTTTCCTAATAATTAAAGGATGACTGGTGAGCAGCTGTATAAGGTTTCCCAGCACGGAGCCAGCAGTGAAGCCATATTGTCCTCCAAAATGATAGTCAAATATTATTTATTGGTTTTCCACTTCACAGGGATTTATTTTGTCCCAAAATGTAGCTCCTCGGATCAAAGTTTTGTTTACTTTTTGTTTTTGATTTTTATTCTAATGGTGCAAACAATGTCCAACTTTACATAACTTAACTCCACTCATTTGGATATCTGATGTGAAATTCTTTTTGTAGTTTTCACCATTTGCCAAGGGCTCCAAACGTTACATGCTGTCCACTGGAACTGATGCCACTGTCTGCTTCTGGCAGTGGGACGTCAATAACATCAACTTTAGGTGAGCACTTTTTGTGTTAGTAACAATGGTGATTTCAATTTGGGAACAATTCTGCGGCAAATCTAAGTTACAGCTTTATCTCTTTAAAGCACGTTGTACATATGTTTGAAAGGGCTCTCACAAAGAAGCAAAAACCTAAGAGTCCTGTTCAGTTTTGTGAATTTGAGGCAAGGTGCATATCCACAAAGAGCTGTGCTTGAAAAAAAAATGTGAAGGAAAAAATACCCAGCCAAACTTTGTTTCCGTCTTCTTTCTTTCCATCAGAGTGACAATAGAAAGCTTTTGAACCTTTATGTTGCACAGCAATTCCATTACCTTTGAATGCTGAGGATTTTTCAGGACCCTCTTTCAACTTTGGTGAAGAAAAAACAAAGTGTCTCAAAAGAGAAAGTATCCCTTTTCCTTCAGTGACCTTTCAAATTCTTTTACAATTTGATGAGTCTCTTGATGCCTGACTGGATTTTTTTAAATCATACATGATAAAGACACACCTGCAGACTTCATTCTGCTCTCAGAGACGAATTGTATCCGGCTACCCCGAGTTATTGGCGAGAGAGACCAGTGGTCACTTAATGAATCGTACAGAGAAACACCCAGCAGTTCAGGACTCTGTCTGTCTGCCACACTGCAGCCTTTGCTCACATAAAAAGGCACCTGAGACCACTGAGGGCAAAATCATCTGATCTGACCATTAAACCATGGCTGAAACTAGTCAGTAATGAGGGAACCGTGGATGCACACTTCCACCATGGCCAAGGCTTTTGAAACGATGACTAAATGAACAGAAGCCATATGTATGTAAATTGGACTTTTAGGAGTATGATTTGTAATATATGTTTGAAACGCCTCAGAAAACGGCTCACTGTTAGTCTGAGTAACACTGTGTCAGCAGTCCTGCTTTTTCTGGAATTGTATGAGGCCAGGAGGCCTCAGTTTCTAAAAAGGTACCAGTGGTCCCACATATTGTGGTTAAAAGACCTTTTATTTAAAGCGCCACCCCCACCATCTCGTAAGCCTGGTGGGCTGGGCAGCTGACCTCCCTCAGTCTAAGAGAAACACCCACTTTACTACTTTCAGAGCCTGACTTAAAAGAAAGCGTGACCCATTTCCTCAAAGGTGTGAAGAGAAACATGACCAAATGCTGATGTTAAGTGATTTATGTCACATGAGAGTATGTGGATGAATGTAGAAAAACCTGTTGGCAGTCTGCTTCCTTTTCTATGATTAGGTAATGGTGAAGTAATTTTTTTTGTGTGTGAATTTATTCATTTTCTCCATTTTCTTTTAAGCGATCGGCCACACAAATTTACAGAGCGGCCTCGGCCCGGAGTTCAGACTGTTTGCTCCTCGTTCAGTCCAGGTAAATGCTAATTTTTGGGAATTTGCTTTGAAGCTTTGTTGGTTTTTGTGTTGAACAGACACCACCTTCCATTTCACATCTTCTAAACAACGTGTCGACTTCTTCACTTCTCTGAATTCTTGTTTTGGTGTTTGAAACTTATTTCTTATTATCTTTGTTGTCTCCTTACAGGTGGGATGTTCTTGGTAACAGGAAGTACTGACGATGTCATTAGAATATACTACTTGGGGGGCAGCAGCCCGGAAAAGATCTCGGAGCTACACGAGCACACGGTTAGCTGAGTTTGGATTAATATGCGCAGAACTTGTAGCTGTGTGTTTTCTTTAAACCTGAGAAAAGTAACATTGGTTTGAGTCTTGATTTTCATCCGTGTGTCTTCTCCCCTCCCAGGACAAAGTTGACAGCATCCAGTTCTGTCACTCGAGTGAAAGGTATTAACCAAAAGAGAGGTGTTAGTCTTAGAGTACTACATGGTGAGAATGAGACTTGTGTTGACCGGTGCCTCTGTGCTGCCCCAGGTTTGTGAGTGGGAGTCGAGATGGGACAGCCCGGATCTGGAAGCTCCATCAGCGGCAGCAGTGGAGGTGCATCCTGCTCAACATGTCTGCCACTATTCCAGGGTAAGGCTCCACTTATTTGTAAAACAAGCTTACAGGGACATTGTGTAGTATTTGAAGTACTTTATTAGCTAAAATCATTTTCGTCATTTATAAATATGTCCTCGTTTGGTGTAAAATTACCTCTCCTCAGAAGAATAATTTCCTATCTGTATATACATAGCACTACTCTACCTGTCTAGCTCATCCCCTACATGTTTTAGTTCAGGGCCAGATTCACGTGACTGAATTAATCTTTTAAGTAATTAATTTAAAATATTTTTTTGTTTTAAATTAAAAACCTCATCCTCCTCGGTGATCATGTAAGGAGAAGTGAGCAGGACACGGACATCTCGAACAGCTGTCACAGCCTGTTCAAGTAAAACCGAGACAAATCCGTTTGCCCAAATATGTTCCTCCACTTTCAGCTGTTTGTGAAACATTTAGCACTACTTCCAACTGAGAAATTAGTGAAAAACAAAGCTTGTCTGTCTTGGAGGAACTGTAAAGATTTTCAAAAATGATTACTAGAAACTGAATAGTCACTGAATTTGGTTTTTAAAAGCTTCATCACATAAAAATACATTTAGGTGTTCTAAAAAAAAATCAGCTCATCTGGGAAGCTCTGTATTTATGGTCCAAAACACCAAGTTTTATTTTGCAATGAAAGCAAACAGTTATCTAATAGTCTTCTGATGATAATCTAATGAAAACTACTTGACGGGTCTCGCAGAACAGGCTGCAGATTACTGCAGGGATTTCTTCATCCGGCCCTCTTTTGAAACAATGGAGTTCAGGCTTTTTGGATCTATTTTCTTGGAAAATGTTGCCTTCTTCTCTCACAGTGCTGAGCCGATGAGTGAAGAGGAGAGCTACTTCAAACCCAAAGTCACCATGGTAGCGTGGGATCGGCACGACAGTACAGTCATCACGGCTGTTAACAACCATCTCCTCAAAGTGTGGAACTCCTACACAGGGCAGCTGCTACATATCCTTAAAGTAATTGTTTGCAGCATTCTCCTTTTGCCAGCGTACAAATCAAACCTCCGCACATTTAACAGAGATTAACGCCTGCGTTGTTTTCAAGGGCCACGAAGCCGAGGTGTTTGTCCTCGAACCGCACCCTTTCGATCCCAGGATCATCCTGTCTGCCGGCCACGACGGGAATGTGTTCATATGGAATCTGCTAAGAGGAACAAACACGCAACACTACTTTAACATGGTACACAGACACTGTACAGCTCCACAGCCGACAAGAACAAAGCCTGTATCTTTGTATTTGGACTATGAAGCCTGGAGGAACTATGAAGCCTGCTTTGCTGCTTCTCTGATCACTAGTTTGTTTCTTTTATGTTTTCTCCATCCAGATTGAAGGTCAGGGTCATGGGGCTGTGTTCGACTGCAAATTCACCCCTGACGGCCAGCGCTTCGCCTGCACAGACTCTCATGGCCATCTGCTCATCTTTGGTTTTGGCAGTTCCAAACCCTACGAAAAGGCAAGAACTCAAGCTCCTTTTGTTAGGATTCGGAGAATGCTTCACAGTTTGTCTCGCATTTTGTTTGCTCGCCTTTTTTTGTGTGTAAAAGATAGCACTAACCTTTCGCTTTCCTGTTCCACAACAGCTTCCCGACCAGGTGTTCTTCCACACGGACTACAGACCGCTGATCCGGGACGCCAATGGCTTTGTGTTGGATGAGCAGACGCAGCAGGCGCCTCACCTCATGCCTCCACCATTCTTGGTGGATGTAGATGGAAACCCCCATCCACCAAGGTATTGCAAGACTTTGGCTCTTTGAATACAGTGTTTCAGGTTTATGTTTCTGTATGGCATTGCCATCCATCCGTAGAAGCATTCTAAATCCAGTTTGTGCTTTCAAATCGAATGTTCCTCTCCTGTAAGTCTCCTTCGGAGGAAAGAATGGGTTTGGACAGTTTATTGGTTCGACCCATAAACCAAATTTTTTATAGCCTTTGTGTTTCTATCTCTGTAAGTAAATTCGGTCTTCTCTTTACCGTCCAATCACTGCGACTGCTGTTTGGCTCCTGTGGTTTCCTGTATGCCCCGTATTCTACCAACAGAGATGCAGCAACTTAAGGAAAAGTTTGCAAAGCTTGTTGCACTGATGTCGATGACACAGCAGTAAACCATCAGATTGAGCATTTGAAATGGTGAAATATCAGTGGTTGAAACTTCAAATATGAGACATCTGCCATCACTGACACTTTTAACAGCACATCCACCAGAGCTGCCCAAGTTTGACTGTTGGATGGGGGGTCTTGAATTCCCAATTGAAAATGTTTTTAATGTCCCAGCAATTTGGAGAGATTCTATGATTTATAGTTTTTATTAAGTGTTCTGTTAGTCTTTAGATCTTTCATAACAAAAAGGTGTTTGTATGTTCATTTAGATTAGTAACAAACTTTGCGACACTTTCATTAAAAACTATTCCTGCATTTCAGATACCAGCGTCTTGTCCCCGGGCGGGAGAACATTGCTGCTGAGCACTTGGTTCCTCAGTTGGGATACGTAGCCACAAGTAAGCCACAGATTTAGTGTTGCTTATCTTAAGGATGGTTCATGAGGAAAAATATGTCTTTGGACCGACTATGCAGCAGTCGGATATAATATATATGATTTATATGATTTTGAAAACAGCTCTTTGTTAGTGTTTGACTTACTGCAAACCCCCCACCCTCTCTAATGTCATGATCCCTGTGTGTCCCCCTCTCAGGTGATGGTGAGGTGGTGGAGCAGGTGATCAGCCAGCAGACTGCGGAGCACGAGGAGATTGCAATAAGACGCAGTAGCCTTCTGGATGAGGCCATCCGGCAGCTTCAGCAGCAGCAGGACCGGCAGAACCAGCCAGAAGCAGCACCGGGCCCTGGAGCTGGACCTGAGGGGCAGGCCGAAGCGCATGGCCCGGGGTTGGCACGAGCTCCGAGCACACCGCGCAGAGGTGTTGACATACCACCAGCCACTGCTCCCCATGCCTCGGAATAACCCCTGTAAGAAGCCCAAAGATTCATTTTGTCTTACTTCACCGCAGTGTCCGTGAACGAGCGAGCAGATGTGCAGTCTCCTCCTAACGTGGGCCTGCGCCGCAGCGGGCAGGTGGAGGGCGTACGGCAGATGCACCAGAATGCCCCTCGAAGCCAAATCGCCACCGAGAGGGACCTGCAGGCCTGGAGACGCAGGGTGGTGGTTCCTGAACTGGCATCCAGTAACCATAGGTAGATCTTGATCTATTTCTACATGAAATGAAAATATTGATTCTGTCTATAAGTCCACCATGCATTTGAATTTATTGGACCTGCTGCAAAATTCTTTGTTGACTCCTCTCAGCATAGACAGCCAAAAGTGTGCCAGTCTGTAAAAATCATTCTGATTTACACGTCTTTTAGTAGTTTAATTTTCTTCCATTTCTGTGTTATTCCTCATAGAGCAACCATTTCTTCTCTTTTCGGTTTTTCCAGGGTTCAGGAGGAGAGTCGAACAGCCAGAGGAGACGAGGAGGTGCTTCTCTACAACACAAAAAAGAGACGGATAATCTACAGCAGCTGCAGGGTGGGTCCTAGTCCTTAACTGAGCCAATGGGTGTCAGTAAGATTTTATGGTGTTGGCATGTATTAAACCTTAACTTCAGCAAGTGGATATCAGAACAGGACGCATCAATGCAAGTTTTAAATTCAATTTCCTGTCAGAATGAGTTTCAGGCTTCAAACTGTATTTTCTGTCTTCCGCCCCACAGGATGATTCAGATGATGAACCCCCCACTACGAAGAGAACCCACGGCCACAGAGGCTCACTGGAATATATCGACTTGTCATGTGAAGAAGGAGAAGAGACCTCAAGTTCAGATGCACACTCTGAGGTAGCACATTGTTTCCTCCTCTTCTTTTGAAATTCTACCTTGCACCGCTTACCACAAACGTCCTTTTTCCCTTCAGGACAATGAATTGGATGGCAGTGACTTGGATTCCTCCAACGATGAGGAGGAGTGGAAGAGTGACAGTTCGAGGTACACAGCCACGGGAACATTTAAATCACTGAATGTTCTTGCGTCGCACTTCCTTGAAGTGGCGCTTTTGTTGAGTTAAACACTGCTCGTTCAATCTGTGTCGTGGCTTTTGATCGGGCAGCCATACATCCAGCGAGTACTCGGACTGGACCGCAGACGCTGGCATAAACCTGCAGCCCTCCACCCCCGTGTCGTCGCGAAAACGAGCCAGGCGCCAACTCAGCAGCTCCGAGGAGGAGGAGGAAGAAAATGAGGAGGATAACGATGAAGAGGAGAAAAAGCAGCAAAGCGACGATGAGGAAAAGCCTGTGAAGAAAAGCAAACTAAAGGAGAAAAAGGCCAAGACAAAGTCACCCCGAGTGAGTCCACCCGTGAATCCGGCACCCTGCCACATGCAGAACATAAAGACGGGCTGCTCGACCACATATTCCTTTCCTCATTTGACGTTTTTCGTCTCTGTGCTCCAATCAGCGCCCAAAGGCCAGGCCGCCTATTAACAGGGAAGTGTCAAATGAGTTCAGGCCATCGCCATGGATCACTGATGTCATACCCAGGAAGTCGCCATTCGTCCCCCAAATGGGCGATGAGGTAACCCAACAAAAGCACAGTCCAGGCTTACTTAACGTCCATCAGGGGTTTTTGACTTAACGAAACATCCAAGTCGACAAGTAGAGCGCCCTAATTGCAGGTGTTTATCTGAACCCTTGCAGGTGATCTACTTTCGGCAGGGACACGAGGCCTATGTTGACGCTGTGAGTCGGAGCGAGCTGTACCCCATCAACCTGGAAAAGCAACCCTGGAGGAAAATGGAGCTGCGGGTATGACTGAAGCTAAATAGGACAGCTCATAGAGGAAGAGTTGGTAGAGACACGTTTTAGCAAAGGTTGTGTGTGTTCTTCATCCATTTTCTGCCGAGGTCACAGGGCCACATTGACTTGGGTTTATAGCTAAATTAGGAATCCTGGAACTGCAAATGAGCCTATAATCCTGCTGTGCGTCTCTTTAGGACCAAGAGTTTGTGAAGATCACCGGAATCAAATATGAAGTTTGCCCTCCGACGCTCTGCTGCCTAAAGCTTACCCTTATCGACCACGGCACCGGCAAAATCACAGACAAGTCCTTCACTATCAAGTAAGTGCCACATTCAGTGCCACATAGACACTATATGATGGTGGAGGCACCATCATATAGTGTGGCTCCACAATTCTTAGTGTGGAATCATCCATGTAGTAAAAAAAGAAAACAAAGTAAAAAAATGTTTTCTTTTTTTGTTGTTTTTTTTCACACTTAGGTATCACGACATGCCAGATGTGATCGACTTCCTGGTGTTGAGGCAGAGTTATGATGAGGCACTCCGAAGAAACTGGCAACCAAGTAAGAAAGCTCACATTCATCTGGCTTCAATGGTTAAATTTGAGTTTGCATTATTCCAATTCCAGGATGGTTTTCATTTCCGTTTGACAGTCTAGACGTTAGAATGTTTTTTTTATGTCTTTATTTCCCACTTCAGTGGGTCAGTGCTGGGCACGTTTTAGTCACTTCGGTCATTTTTCCCTAATTGCAGACGACAGGTTTCGCTCGGTGATAGACGATGCCTGGTGGTTTGGGACCATCGTCTGTCAGGAGCCCTACCAACCAGAGTACCCGGACAGCCTCTTCCAGTGCTTCAAAGTCAGGTGAGCGGAAACACGCCGTGTGAATCGTGCTCCCTTTAACGATTTATGCTTTGATGCCACAATAAAAAAACAAATGCGTAAAGTTTGATTGACTTTTGTTCTCTTGATCTCAACAGATGGGACAACTGTGAAACAGAGAAGCTCAGTCCATGGGATGTGGAGCCCATTCAGGATGACGGTAATAAAAACTAAGAAACAGTAAAACAACAAAATAGTAGAGACAGCTTTCCAAATGGCTTTTGTGGCATATTCGCAGCCCTGCAGCCCGACACGGACGGAGGTGGCATCCCTGTGACTGCTGATGAGATGAAGGACCTGATGTATAAGCCACTGGCCGGGGAGTGGGGCGAGAGGAGCAGGGACGAGGAGTGTGAACGCATCATCGCCGGCATTGATCAGCTCATCACTGTTGGTGTGTTTTGCTCTTCGTCAGCTTGGAACCTGCTGGTATATTTAACAGAGGAAGGAGTCACCAGCTTCATTAAGTCACCCTTCTGTACATCTTTGCCACAGGGATTGCTGCTCCGTTCTCTGGTCCCGTTGACTTGATCCAGTATCCAACTTACTGCACCGTGATTGCCTATCCTACAGATCTGGGCACCATCAGACTGAGACTTATGAACAGATTCTACAGGTCAGTCCCTCTCTTCTATACACGAAGCCGCTGAAATTCAAACAGACAATGTTTTGTGTTATACGAGTGGCACTTATCCATCTTTTTTTCCTGTCTTTTTCTTATCTTTTCTCCAACAGACGCCTCTCTGCATTAATTTGGGATGCCAGATATATTGCACATAACGCCCGCACTTTTAATGAGCCAAGAAGCAAGATTGCTCACTCTGCAAAAATCATCAGTAACGTCCTCCAGAGATTTGTCAAGTATGTGCCAAGAGATTATTTTTTTCAAATAGCAAAGTGTTTGTTGTACACAGGCACAATTTTTAATCACGCTATTGTATAGATGATTACGTTTTCAATACATGTTTTCTTACCTTTCACAGTAACCCAGGCTGCATGGATGTCATGGAGATTTACAGTGCTGTGGAGGAAATGGATGATGATGATGAGGCAAGTCTCAAACACCTAAGCTCATGTGCCAAAACAGCCGAAACATTTATTAACGAGTACATTGGCTGCTCACTTCCCAAATGCTACAAAAAAAAGCAGACAGTCTAATTTCTCCATTTAAGAACTCCAAATGTTCTTACTCCCCAAAGGAAGAAGATGCAGAAGCACCAGGAACCTCTTCTGGACACAGACTGCGTCAGGTAAAAAGAATTTAAGGATGGTATTTGTTTCCTTTAGTACCTTGGTTAGTTAGTATTGTCACCCTGAGATGCTGTGTGAGAAGAACTGTAAATCAGAATGCTCCCTTTTGGTTTTGGTGCCTGCAGCGCTCTGTGGAGGTGCTGCCTGATCGAGATGCCTGGAAAGAGCAGTGCAAGAGTCTGCTCAACTACATATTTGACTGCGAGGACTCCGAGCCATTCAGACAACCTGTTGATCTTCAGAACTATCCAGTAAGTTGACTTGTGGCTCCTGTGTGTGTTTTTTTTTTGTTGTGTTTTTAAAGTCTTACATTCAGTTTTCTCTGCGTGAGCAGGACTATCATGACATCATCCCTACACCCATGGACTTCGGCACCGTGAAACGGACCTTGGAAGAGGACCGCTATGAAAATCCAGTTGAGCTGTGCAAAGACACGCGACTAATATTTGCCAACGCTAAAGCGTACACGCCTAACAAACGCTCTAAGGTTAGGCCTTAATCCAGCTCACAGTTGCAGGGATTTTCACCCATCAAGTTGTCTAGCATTAATGTTTTGGCCTGTATTTTTATTTCTTCTTCTTTTTGTCCTGCTCTGTCTAGATTTACAGCATGACCTTGCGGCTCTCCGCCTTCTTCGAGGAGCACATCAGAACAATCATATCCGAGTACAAAACGGCCGTGAAAAGCAACGATAGGCTCCGCCGAAGTCAGAGGTTTCGCAAGAAAATGCAGCAGCAGGATCATTCTTCCAACACCACAAGGTATGTCCGAGTTTTGCCTCGCCTCTGCTCATAAGTCCACTCAAAAACAGAGGAAGAGAGTCCTGCAACTGGCAAACCTCACACACAAGCATTTTATTCACAGTAGAACATAGAAGACACCTGGTAAATTGTTGATATAAAGTGGTCAAACGGTAGCTATGTAGATCCCACTTCATCACAGCCATTTGGCCATTGCAAATGATGTTTGCATAGAGAAATGCGTCTGTGTTCTTTGCGTTGTAAAGCCTTAACGGCATGTGCTGGAGATCTGTGATCATTAGGTGCGCATGGATGTCTCCAGATGTCTGAGTGTTCTGCTGGTTTTCTGTACTGTGGGTTGGGGAGTATTCAAAGGCTTCCAGAATCTGGACACAGATTTTCACACATATTTGCCAGGTTCGCCTTTACTGCTGAGAGACTCTGCCTCTGTACGGTGCCGTTTTCCCAGTCATGCTCCTAACTTGCAGATCAATGGCTTAAAGAGTTGCAGCGTGTTCACCGTGCTGTCCAACACTTCCTGTTCTGTTGTGGATAAAATTGCAAATCATTTCTATTTTTTAGTTTCTGGCTCGTCACCAGTCTATTTGTAAAAATGTTGTTTCTTTTCTTTTTCTTTCTTTCTTTTTTTTTTTTATTTCAAGTCAAAAAAGGGCTGCTGTTAAATCTCAGGAAAAAATGGAGTTAATGGCAGTAACCAAATCTACCTCAGTCAAAGTGTCTGTTCCTGAGAGAGCCAGGCGGAGTCGGGGCAGCATCTCAGGTCACAGCTCTTCAGACGACGAGTCCGGCTCTAAAGAGGCCTCATCCACACCAGGTGCTTTATCAGGATACGTTTTATTCATCACATATCGCTTTGCTTTTATAATCTTGCAAGAGTGTAACAATCACTGTCCAGAAAAGCAACTTAAACTGATAGCAGTCCTATTGATATCTAATGTATCCCCACCCCCACCCCCCAGAGTCTGATAGCGACAGTGAGCTGAGCGAGTCAGACGAGGACAAAAGACGTCCAGGCTCCTCAAGGCATCATCGGCACAGACAGAAAGCGAGAGTTAGGAGGAGCAACCGCCACAAAAAGAAGAAAAAAGGTCAGGAATATGATATAACATATATAATCCTCAAAGAACACACCCTGACCTGTGTATTAACAGAAAAAACTCTGGAAATGTGTGATTGTTGCTAGTTGCTGAGAGTGACAGCGATGAAGGTGAAGAGGGAGAGGATGGAGAGGGGTCTTCCCAGTCTTCAGACAACCGTTATCCCAGCAGGAGCACCCGGCTCACCAGGAACCGCGCTGCCGGAGACCGGAGGAGGACAGGTAAAGGCGCAGTTTTTAAACCTCCAAACCCTCCGATGCATTTGTGTATTCATCGCTCCGACCGGCTGTGTTCAGAGGGCCGGGCTGAAGTGAACGGGCACGCCGGCAGCAGCTGGTCGTCGCGCAGGGAGAGGCGTCGTCAGCGGGACTCGGACAGAGTCACTTCCCAAGGCTCCGAGCGGGAAGAGGACGCCGCCGCTCGCCGGCCCCTCAAGAGGAAGACCGCAAGGGCTGCAGTCGATAAGATGAAGCTTCTCGAGGCCTCCGACGAAGACTACGAGGACAAGGAGGAGATGCCAACGAGGAGCAGCAGTCGCCTTCGCCAACCTCCCCGGGTCACCAAGCGCACCGCCGTGATCCAGAGCAGCTCCGACTCAGACGGAGAATCATCTGCAAGAGGTGGGAAGAGCAGCATTTATTTTAGTCTGTTTGCGCAAGGAATTACATTTTTAAACATTTGGTTTTCTTTTTTTTCTTTCTTTGTTCCCGCTGTAATTTTGCAGCTTCTCAGAATACAAGAGAATCGGATAGTATATCCAAGGATGAAGAAGATGGCGACGACAGCGAGTCTTCCGCCTCCCAGGTGAAGCAGAACGGAGACGTTGCATCTTCCACAAGGAGGACCGTGAGAGAAACTGTCAAGACTAAGGGAAATGGTAAGGAATTCATCCTTCTGTTGAGAGGAGCTGGTGGTGTTAGAGGAGCCCTAATCAGCTGGACTGTGTCCCCCCCCCCCCTGCAGACGCAGCGTCTCACGTGAACGGGCATGGTGGAAAACGGTCCGAGAGCAACTCTGAGCAGGATGACACTGCAGAGGACAGCTCCGGGGAAGCCGAGGAGGAGGAGGAGCACACACCCTGGTCTCAGAAACCTTCCCAAAGCACAGCAACCACTTTAACAAGGAAAAGTAGGATTGCAAGTGAGGAAGACGAGGACACGGAGCGTCGGATCCCCCGACGCAAAGCTCCTGTGAGCTCTGATGAGGAGGACCGAGGGGCCCGTTCCCACCGTCACTCACACCAAAACGGAAAGACAGAGGCCTCCATCCAGAGGGACTCCAAGAAGAAAAGCAAAGTTTCTCCGTCAAAAAGCCAGGTCAAACAAAAATCTGCCTCAACGGATCGACTGGACGGCGCAGTGTCCGACGAGCAGGGCGATTCTCCAAAGAGATCCGGCCCCCGCAAGAAAAGGGTGAAGAAAGAGGAAGTGGAGAGCGATCGCTTCAGCGACGGGTCCGACTTTCAAACGAAAAGGCCGATGAGAAACAAAAGCAAAAGGCCCCATGGCAACGCCACTGCCTCGGAGAGTTCCGAGCTGGAGTACAAACCCAGGAGGAAGTCGAGGAGGAAGCACTCCACGGGCTCATCGGACGAGGAGTCGGACAACGCGGACACGGCGCCGAGCAGGCGGCCCCGGCTCCGAGCGCTACCAAAAAAGAAATACATCAGCGACAACTCGCTCTCTGAGGAAGACTCTGCCCCGGCAGAGCAGCACAGGCAAAGAAACGGGAACAAAAGAGTCTCAGAGTCCAGGGATGATTGGTGCAACACCAGAGTGTCCATCAGAACTCCCCCGGCTGAATCTAGGACTCCGCTCTCTACCAAGAGGAAGCGCATTTACACCTCAGACTCTGAGGATGCAGAGGAAGATGGAGAGAAGGAGCTGGTGCACGACAACAGCACGAACTGCACGTCGGGCTCCTCGAAGCGCTCTAAAAGGGAATCCAAGCATGAAGCTAGCGACAGCAAAGAGCCCGACACGTCCTCCCACTCCGACTCCAGCCAGGAAGACGAAGACGTTGGCCGCTCGGGAAAGGGGAAGAAAAGCGCCAGGCGGCCGAAGCCCAAACGGAAGGAGAGCTACAGCAGCAGCAAACACAGCAGCCCGGACTCGGAAAGCGAGCCGTCCTCTTCAGCCTCTGAACAGTCATTCGCCAGCTCAGGGTCCCACAGCAGTCCAAAGAGGAGAGGCCGCGCTCGGACGGGCATCGGTGGAAGGGCCGCCAGCCACCCGCTGAGGCGCCGCCGCCGGGGGGCCGCCTCGGAGGAAGAGGAAGACAGCGGGGAGTCGCGCCGCAGGCCACGGCTAAAGACGCGCGTCAACACCCGCAACCGCGGGAAACGCACGATCAAATATCACGACAGTGAATGAAGGGCGCGGCGGCCTTTCGCCAGGAAGACGGACATTAACTGGAGACGTCAAAGACACTTGAAGGCCACGTTATGGTAGCAGCACTGGAGTCCTCACCAATAAAATGCTGTGAATCTGTTTCATTCAGGGATATTTATATTTTCTATGAAAAACATGTTTATAGATGTAATACAAATTCAAGCATTTCAACTGCTGGTTTTTCACAAATCCAGAGCGAAACGCCACCTCCCACCATGCTTGTTGTGATTAGGCCGGCAGAAAGACCGTTCTGAGGAATCTTTTGGGTGCTATCTTAATATACCTCTGTCTAATCGAGCATATTGCTGGCTTGCACTAAGAAACACTGTAATGAGGTATTTCATACACTAGTTTTGCATTAGAAACTCAGGGGTCAAACTAAGTTTACTGTAGTCTCAGACACCCAGAGGCTTATTTTTGAGCTGAGGTAAGGAAGAGAAATGATTCCAGATTGCCAGATGTCCAAGCACATTGCCTGGGACAGACAAATCCATGTTCAGACTTTTGACTACAGCACTCCTTTGTAAATCCACACACTTAAATGCTTGACTGTATTGTGAGATATGAGCCAAATGAACTACAACAAATTTACTTTCCCCTCATATGTCTGTTATCTTTCCTTATTAATTTGTTTTGTATTCTAGTAAATGGGTGTAAATATGTGATTGAGAGTTAAATTGTCCGAATGGCGTGACGATCAGTCAGTAGCAAAGCATTATTTAAATTGGATGGGGGTTTTTTTCTGTTTTTTTCTTGCATTTAACTGCAGTGTCTTGCCATCTGTCCCAAAATTGGTACTTTTTTGCCAAGTACGGATAACCAAAAGTACTACATGCAAAATGCAGTGATTTCTCATATTGGGAAGACTTTTTTTTTATTGTCCTGTGTCACTTACTTTCAGTATTAAATTCTTTTTCAGAGTTGAATTTAAATGTTTTTTGCCAGTCATGGTTTCTTTTTTTTTCTTTTGGTTTATGGGGAGGTTTCTATATACAGTCGCTTGATGACATTTTGCTTGTTTTTCGTACACCATTAACAAACAGATTTCACAGGGAAAACTGTTAACGCAATGTGGTTGTGGAGTGCAATGAATGAGTTATTCTTCTTATCAATAAAACGTCAGTTCAAGATGTATTTTTTTGTCTGTCTCAATTTTACCCTCTTTTACCCTCTATTAAAAGAATGAGCAGCTATTTATGAGGACACAGTGGTGCAAGTTGTGTAAGTTTACTCTCATTGCAATCATTAGTTTCCAACATGTATTCAAACAGCTTAATAAGTTTACTTTTTTTTCTTGGCTTTCAGTTTTTTTGTTTTTGTTTTGGTAATTATAGTGGACATATACTTAAGTAAGTTCAACTATGAACGGAGAATCACATACGAAATAATTACACTCTCGATCTTTATGATTTCTTTTATTTTTATGCTTGTTTCGGTGTCAGTGGGTGTTGCTAAAACACTTGTTTTTTTTTTTTAGGTATTTCTATTTCAAATATCCACCTGTCTCTATCATGAAAACGTTTCGGGCGGGGTGGAGCGACGTCGGCGTGTCAACTTCCTGTTTATCAACTTCCGGTTTCAGTAGCATTTCGCACTTTCGGCAAAATTGTTTTGAACGGTTAGCAAATATTACCATTCAGTTACACATACCAACGCTATATTTACACTTTACCTGTAAATAATATTAATGCATTTTACAGAATTTCCTTCATGGACAGAATTGGCTTTTTTTCTTTGTTCATTTGCCTTTTTTGTGACGAATGTACTCATCTGTGCATTCACATTCGCCTTAATTAGCCAGTGAGCTGTTATGTGTGTTTATTAAATGGACCGACACGCCGCATGAATGACATAAAAAAAACGTCTGCGGTTTTACCCGAAGAGAAGGGCGTCAAGTGTATTGACGTTATTTTAAAAGACTGATTAGATTCAGAACTTAAGCAAACAGACCAACGTTAAAGTTGAAGTTTAGCATGCCCTCTGTCAGCCACTGTCAGCTCAGATAGCGTCAACAGACTTTCCCAGGACAGGACTAACCGCCGGTTATAAGCAAAAATGTCTGCGTGCAGAAGGCTGGTTTACCTCGTTAAGCAAAGGAACCTTTGGACGCACATCCAGAGGAAAGTCACCACATGGTCTCCTGTCGGAGCTGCTTTTAATGCCAAACCCCACAGGCGCCTGGATCTCTTTGAGAAAAACGTGGTTCGTATGACAGATCTGTTAAGTCCCAGCACGAGGAGTCATGAAAGTAAGAATACGCTGCTGAGTGAACGTTTGTTGTGACTTGTGATTTTAGGGTTTGTTTGGAGTGCCAGAGCTCAGCTGTCCCGCAGGCTTCCAGGTCGTCACAAAGACTGCCCTGAAGAACACCGAGCGTCTGGTGGGGAAAGCCTGCTCCTGCTCTCCGGGGGTTCAGACAGTCGAGAGTTTTGACCAGCTCTCAGATGAACTGTGCAAAGTGGCAGATTTGGTGAGTTAGCAGATGCTTTTATCCAAAGCGATTTACAAAAGGAGGGTTTAGCACTCAACCACAACACCAGTTACACACTTACCTTACTTTTAGTGCAATATGCTGGAAGAGGATTTAACAGTTAACTCAGTGCTATATGCTGTTAGGAAATAAGTGCATTTCGAGCTTTCAGGACAAGAGATGCTCTCGAAAGATCTGGGTCTTCAAGGATTTTTTGAAGGAGGAAAGAGAATCTGATGCTCTGATAGTGTGCATGTAAGGTCGATCCACCAGCGTGGAACCCCAGAGGAGAAGAGTCTAGATTGACCTGCACGAGGCGTTTGTCGTATTTGCTGGCGCTCCTTGGAGGAACGGAGTGGATGAGCGGTGACAAAGGGCTTTAAGACGGGTTTTGAGGTAGATGGGCACAGATCCATCGACCACTCTGTAGGCCAGCGTCAGTGATTTGAATTTGATGCGAGCAGCTAAAGGAACCCAATGGGGTTCAGTGAACAGGGGTGGGACATGTGCTCTCTTTGGCTGGTTGGCTGCAGCATTCTGGATCATCTGTAGTGGTCTCACAGCACAGTCTGGAAGGCCTGCTGGGAGGGCATTGCAGTAGTCGAGGAAGGAGATGACTAAGGCCTTTACCAGGAGCTGTGCCGCATGTTGGGTTAGATATGGCCGAATCTTCCTAATGTTTATCAGAGAAAAGTGGCTCGATCAAGATTCAATAGGGTGGTTTGTTGCTTGCATTTGTAGAGGACTCTTACATATGACAATATTATGAAAGACTGGTGGGACAACCCCTGTATATCCATCCAACCGTTTGCTATAGAGTTTAAACCTAATACGGTTGCAGAGGCTTGGCAGAACTTTTTGTATCTTGCTCAGTAGATGAAGGATCTTTTGCTCTCCCCATTTATTATTTTTTTTACAAAGATTAAACAGTACTGATGATATTAAACCAAATGTCTAATATTTATTCTAAGCAAAAATAATCTGGCTTTTTCAACAAAACAAACACAATTTGCGCTGTCTTTAGAAGATTATTCCACATGAACTAAAGTAGAAGTTAAAAAAAAGAGGGGGGGGGGCGCGCTTAGCAGAAATGTTTAATCTGTGACTGTCATTTCATTTGAACATAAATGTCCCTGGTTTGTGTATTTATTTACTTAGCCAGTCGTTATCACACTTGAAGGCTGGATTGCTCTTTTCATATGCAGGCAGACTTTATAAAAGTAGCCCATCCAGATCCAGCGTTCCGCGAGGCTGCAGAAAAGACCTGCATAGAGATCGGCACAGTTGTGGAGAAGTAAGAAACATCCCGGACATCTCTAATAGCTCTGAAACCATAAAACGTGACATGATTTACTGCTTACTACAACAAGATGGTGCGGGTCAGTAACAAGGTCTGTATTTCAGGCTTAACACCAATGTGGAGTTATGCAAAAGCCTAAAGAATTTACTGGACAACCCAGACGTTGTGGCTCGGCTGGACCCGGACACACGGTAAGTCGTAGCCCCTGAAAGGAGTTGTGTCATTTAGTGTATTCATTTTTATAGATGATGCATCCAAAGATTATTTTTCTTTTATGTCTGCCCTCATAGGCGAGTGGCAGAGTTGTTTATGTTCGACTTTGAAATCAGCGGAATTCATCTGGATGACAAACTGGTGAGCGTGTCAGGGTGTGTTGTCATTTACAGCCCAGAAAAGCCTGGCTGTGGTGGCTTCGGTACCACGTAACACGCCTGTGTGTCGCCCTGTCCTTTCCTGCAGAGGAGGGAGGCTGTCCGGCTTCACGTGAAGCTGCTGGACCTCAACAACGAGTTTCTGATCGGCTCCCACATGCCCAACAGAATTGCCAAGTCTGCCATCCCTGAACATCTGCACCTGCAGTTTGCTGGCGAAGGAAGCTTCATTCAGATCAGTGGCTTGCACGCCGATTCTCCCGATGACTTGGTGGGTTGATAGATTTAGCCACTGGGACACTTCTGTTTTTGCTCAGCAGGTGGCGCCACCACCACACCCCACACTGGATTAAGGTGGCAGGTTCAGGTGTTGAGCAGGTGGTCCAGTTTTCTTTTGTATAAGAACATGTTTGAGAGATGTAGGACCCGTTATTTAGTTTGGCCTTGCTCTTTTCCCACATGAGAACTGAAGTAAGAATATAAATAATGAGGCTATCTCAGGTAGATGGATGAAAAGTGGTTGGATGTTATAAGAGCTAAGAATGCCAGAATTTGCCCACGTTTGTAAGCTGACTGTAGCGTATTTCGTGCCAAAAATTTCATTCCGTCCCCTCCAACTTCCAGCTACGAGAGATCGCCTATAGGATTTACCTGTATCCCAACGCAGACCTGATGAAATGTCTGGAAGAGCTGCTGAAATGCAGGTACAAGCTGGCCAAGCTCGTGGGCTACGAGTCCTACGGACACAGAGCTCTGAAGGGTACCATGGCCAAAACGCCAGGTCAGCACATCTCATCTCAACATACACTTCTGTATTGTATGGAACAAGCGTGAAAAGCTCATTATTAGGTAGGCAACACTAGTAGGCACGGTGTTCGAATGCTGATGCTTTACCCCTCTCACTTTCGGCAGAAACGGTGATGAGCTTTCTCCAGTTGTTAACAGACAAGCTGTCACACAGGTATGGTGTTCTCTTTGCAACCTTTGACCCAGTCGCCTAGGACTCCTACATTCACTTCAGTATTGTGTGTTTTTGAATAGTTTTTTTAAAGGCTCAAATAAGTTGATGTCTCCCTTTTTTATTTATGAAATTTTTCCAAAAGGTCTTCATCAACTGAACAGCCACACGTAGATTTGCTCGCAGTCATTAATGATGGGGATTTAATGAAATGTTGTCACCTTTCCATCAGTTATTCACACAAGGAAAGCCTCAGGCTCCTTGTGTACTTTTATCTTCTGAAAAAGTGTGTTCTACGTGTTGTGGATTATTCAAACAGAACAAAAATCTGCACGTCAGGTGGACCGGGAGAGCCTTATTAGTTACCCTCGGGTGTGATTGTTAGTTTGTTAGCCTGGCAGTCTGTCCAGGGTGTTTCCCTGCCTTCAGCCAAATGCATGCTGGGATAGGCTCTGGCCCCTATTGACCCTGTGCTGACGGAGGCGGGTACAGCCAGGAATGAATGCCTCCAGTCACTTAGCTCATAGCTTGCTGTTTTTCTTTTTATCTCTCAGAACAGCAAAAGACTTCCAGATGATGAGAGACATGAAGAAGAAACTCAGCCCTCGTAATTCTGTGAGTATTTTTCTCTTTCTCTCTTTTCTTTTTTTTGTAACACACTAAACTTTACATTCAAAGATGGGTATCTCAACCGCACGTCACTACTCCAAATGCACATATTACACACCTCCCTCCAACCTGTGAGTGGCATTAATGGCCCCAAGGCATCAATAAATAAGTTCTAATGAAGTCTATTTTGTTCAAGAGTCAATTATAAATGGCTTGACATCACGTGCAAACAAAGTGCTCATTTATCCCCCCAGGAGCTGATGCCCTGGGACCACCCGTTTCTCAGTGGTGTCTTGCGTGCTGAAAGGCGAGTAATCGATTACCCTGCTGTCATGTGAAGAAGACGTGCTAATCTGTGCCTATTATGATGGAAAGTTATTAGTGCATCCCAGCTCCTCCTTTGGTGTTAGTCGCCGCAGAAAGTATTAAGGGAGACGGATGGGAGTTGCTCACATGCTCTTTCTAAGAACTACTCAGGCCTATAGGAGGTCTCTAGCCTTGGCACTTCCTTCTTTTTCAAGTTGAAACTCTCATCTTTTTTTTTTCTTCAGCCAGTCATTATCTTTATTATATAATCTCCGCTTTCACATCAGTTTCCACTAGAACTGGAGAGTTGTCAAACCACACAGAAATGACCTGTAGGGTGAGTATGTGCATGCACATGCTCAGGCGCTAATCAGAGCCAGTAGCTGGGCTTAGCAGCAGCCTGTTAGTCATCACTGATAAAGCAGGCATGCCAAGTTCAAGCTAAACCACCGTTTTGGTTTTGATCTAAAATGCCTTTTTAAGATCACTGGTGTGAAAATGTCCCACCAGTTGAAACTGCATGTGAAGCCTTAGTGCTGTCCAAAAATACTGCTATGTCTATAAGGAAGTGTACAAAACAAAATCTGTCTTTTAGCGTCCAGTTCACATGCTTTAAACATTTCATAAGGTAAGTATTGATGTTTGAAATATGGCAGTTTTTTTTTCTTGTTTGGTGCACGGTGTGGGGGGTTAGCAGTACATTGGCTTTCAGGGAATTTCTTATATTTATGCTTATAGGTACAACATCGAGCCCAGTCTGTACAGTCCCTACTTTTCCCTTGGTGCTTGTATGGAGGGATTGAACAACCTCTTCTCTCAGCTGTATGGTGTGTCCCTCATGTCAGAGCATCCCAGTGCTGGAGAAGTTTGGAGCGAGGATGTCCGCAAACTGGTAAAACCTCCTTATTCTTCTTGATTATCTGTGCTAATTACACTTCTGTATGTATTCGATGTACAGAATACGGAAGTCAAAGGACCCCCTTTTATTTCAGAAACAAAAGGGAAGATGACATATCTGAATACACCAGCGATGATTGGGCGGGGGGGGGGTATTTTAAAATGTGAAACTTTGAACATGTCAGTATCAGTAGCTGTGCATGACAACAACGTTCCCAGTTGGTGTCACAACTTTCTGTGTTGATAACCTTTAAAACGCAAGAGATTTTCAAAGTCTGATTGTGGCAATCGATTGTCTGAGACATTCACGTCATCGTTGCTACGTTCCAATTTGGCGGCTTTCAAGATTGCAGCCACGTTCTGGGAATGGCTTAAAAGATAGGCCTCCACTCTACTCGCTGGAGAAATCCAGTTTAGACTCCGTCTGTGTTTTGTTTTGCTCTCACCAAATGGAATTTTCAAAGATCAAACCTGTTACTTTCTGTTGTGTTAAATGTGTGATTATATCTGTGGATGTGTGTGTTTATAGGCGGTGGTGCATGAAACCGAAGGTTTACTGGGTTATATCTACTGTGACTTCTTCCACCGGCCAGAAAAACCTCATCAGGTGTGTAAACACACGCACGGAGCGCATTTCCTATGGTCTCGAGCTAGTTTGGTATTTTAAGATAACACGTAATATATTTTAACAGTTTCTTTTTTTTCTATTTAGCTGTTCATTCTTTTTATTAAACAAATACTGGAGGGAAGCCACAAACTAAAACCAGAAATAAACATACGAAAAATATAGATATTTCCCAACTATAAAAAACCCACCAATGACCTGATTAAAAAAGCTATTTCACTTCTATTATTTCAAGTAGAAAATAATAGCCTAACCTGGTTGGCTGGGAAAGCATTTTTATCAAATTGTAAAGTCATAAGATCGTTGGAGGATTTTTATGATTCTAATTACTTCTAAATTCTTGTTTGCTCAATAGTGAAATAACTGAATTAGCAAAGAGCCTTCAAGGTATTGTAGATGCTTTAATTAAACGGCTTTGTGTGAAGTGTGGTCTCTCGTAAAGGGAGTGGAGCGAATCGAGAAGAAGATAAAACGTATGTAAAATGTAAAATGTTTGTATATGAAAAGCTGGGTCCAGAGCATGAAGTTAGTTCAGTTAGCCACCACGATCCGTTTATTTGATGCCTTGTTGGTTCGGACGCGCCACGGTTCTCGGATGCATTTGCAGCTGTCGTTTCACCTGCTTCACCTCTTCCCGCTCACGCCCTTCCCCCTCCTCACGCTGTCATTCCAGGACTGCCACTTCACCATCCGCGGAGGCCGCTGGTGCCAGGAAACGCAGCGCTACCAGCTCCCAGTTGTGGTGCTCATGCTCAGTCTCCCCCACCCGACCAGGAGCGCCCCCACCCTGCTCACTCCCGGCATGATGGAGAATCTCTTCCATGAGATGGGCCACGCCATGCACTCCATGCTGGGACGCACACGCTACCAGCATGTGACAGGTGATGAGACACCGGGTTAAATGGAAGCATATCAAAAGCCCCCAGATGTCCCAAATGCCTTCAACTAAAACGGTCAAAAGTATATGATGACAGCAGGTTGAATTAGAAATTCAGGGTAAACCAAATCAAGCTCAAGCCCTAAGCAAGTATTTCTACAGCTGTTGCGTATCAAAGATTACTATTTTAGCCTTTAACTTCACTTTAATGGACACCAGATGAGATGAGATGTGAATGTGAAGGTGTTTTACAGGCAATTCTTTTGGCCTTAAGCAACCCTTGATTTGGAAGCCAGGTGTCTGACTTGGTATTTTTCATCAACCTAAAAGTCCCTCTGTCGCCCTTTTAGGGACCAGATGTGCAACGGATTTTGCTGAAGTCCCTTCCATCCTCATGGAGTACTTTGCCACAGACTATCGAGTCATCAGCCAGTTCGCACGTCACTATGAAACTGGACAGGTATAGCAGTCTCCTCAAAAGGCCTTCGGACCTAAACCTGAGCTGTATTTAATGCACGTCCATGAGGACGCGAGCTGAGAGGTTTTTCTGTGTGACTGCCTCCCCACAGCCGCTTCCTGAGAGCATGGTGGCTCGCTTGTGTGAGTCCAAAAAGGTGTGTGGAGCTGCAGACACCCAGCTGCAGGTAAATCCACCAGCAAACAAATATCCCCACCTCACACTCCTCAGTTAAACCAGCTGCGTTCACGGGGACAAACACATTAAAAGGACATGAATTTTTGTTCGTTGGCAGGTCTTCTATGCAGTCTTGGACCAGATTTACCACAGCAGTCCACAGAACCACTCCACCACAGAAATCCTGAAGGACATGCAGCAGAAGTTCTACGGCCTACCTTATACACCCAACACGGTACAGCCTGACGGTCTTTTGTCTCCCTCATAAAATTTGTGACTTGATTATTTAGCTTTGTACTTATGGTGACATTTTAATATTGTTACAGTTTTTAAAAACCTGACAGTCTTTCCGTTTGACAGTTATTTGTGGTTCTGATTTCCCCTTTCCACGCCGTCAGCTACAGCACAGAAACTAATCTGCTTTCTTCTCACTTTTCCCCTCGTCTTTCCTTTCCCTCTTTCCCTTTGTTTTTTTTTACCTTCCACCAAGGCACAACAGCATTTATGGGATTACAGCCCCTTCTTGAATCCCTGCTAAAATAACAAAGCACACGCATACATGAAATGAGCCCTCCCATGGGAAGCATTTGAAACTCTTCACCCCGTGCTTTAAAGGAAAATACTGCTTCACTTCTCCCACTTTTCCAGCTGTTGGATAGCAGATGAGGCCAGGAAGTGAAATAGAATAAAAAGCAGAGACATAATTCAGACAGCAATAGTCTTCATACAGCATTCTCTCTGGGCTGTAATTATGTGGGGAGCCATGAGGAATAGAGATCAATGAACTGCAGCATGTTCCCCTAAGCGCCAGCGGCCCTCCCGCTCCTGCTTGTTCCCTGCGTCCGCCAGGGATCGTGGCTCATTTGATTCAGTTTCAGACCGTTGCTGGGTTTTTCAAACCACACAGGGGATGCTTTCGCTCCCTGTGTGCCGCCAGCCACAGAGAGATGGCGTCCCCTGTTTGAACCGCCGGGACGGCGAGCATTCACCACCACATCATCACTGCCACTGACAGGAGTGGAAACAGATTTGTTTAGATCCTCCAATGACTGAGTTCAACGTTTTTCTTTTTTGGGGTAATCCATCATAAGTCTTTCTCACCGACAGTGTCAGGAAAAGTTTCCACTCATAAGTGAACATTTGAGCGGCTAATGTGTTTTGGAGGCCCACAGATTCTAAACATCAGGGTGACATTGACTTGTGTGGCGTTTACAGAGCGGCGCTTTGGGTTCCTGCTCTGCACAGGCGGAGCGGATCGGCTGTGAGTAACACGGACCACATGCTCCCCCTTAAGACGAAGATAATATTTGGAAATGAGTCTCAGAAAGCGAGACGTTCCGACCCCTTTGTTGACATTTCAGCCATTCTTGGCCAAAGGGGCTGTGTGTTTATTCCTCTTTTCAGCGAGGATCGTCTGTTTAAATAAAGCGTGAAAACTCATCCCAGATAGACGCGCATTCTGCTATTGGAAAGAAAGAAAAGTAAAGAAAAAAAGTCGAAGCACAAAACAGACATTTAGTTTGTAAGAAACATTTTAAAAAGTCTTTTATCTCAAGAGGAGCAGAGTGAAAAAGCCTCAACTTACTTTGTCTGCTTTGAATGTAAGGATCAAACGGATAGCTTGCTGGCATGTGACCCACTTGCACTCGCTGAGAAAACTCCACATTCATCATTTGATGTGAGGCAGAGGGATTAGAAACAAAGGGAAGCTTGGAAGTCTGAAAATCATTTTGGTGGCAGGTTGTTGTGGGGGCTTAAAGATATCTTTACAAAGGCTGAAATTTCATTCTAAACAGTTCCTCCATAAACGCTTATTTGTTACCAAGAACATCAGTGACCATAAAACCACATAATGCAGCAACATCAAAGAGTCCTTCTCTAAAGGGACGGCAAAAGCATCGGTTTAAAACCCAAACCTACAACAGCAGCTGTGGACTTTAGATGTTTTTTGTCAGTGTTGCTTCATTCTCAGTCAGTTTTGTTTGAGTACATCATCACATTCCTTATTACTTCCCTTTTTTTATTTGAATAAGTCATTCAGAAGCTAAAACAAGCTTTTAATCTTCAAAACATACCCAGTCATCTTGTTCTTTCCCATAGTTTTGCGAGTCATGACCCCATTAACTCTTATCCAGAGCTCCCTCTCCCCTGAAAAAATGTTGGGCTGTCCTTGTTAACATTCTCAAAAAGGCATAGGGAAAGATATATTAAAAGAAACATATTATTGGGCTCTTGTATTAGCTCCGTGTTTAGCAAATAAACCCATGTTTCATTAATTGTTTCATCCAAGAGTCAACAGTTCAAAACTCGTGAGGATGTCCCTCGTGTTGTTTTACAGCTCATTGGGTCCCAGTCTCTGTTAAATTCTCCCTCTGAAGTGCAGATTTCTCAACAAATTTGGGGCATTTTCAAAGGAATGACTACATGAATTACTGATCATATTTCTTTTGCTTGTTACAGTTACAGTTTCCTGTTATCGTCTTTAGATGAGGATTTTCACAGTACGTTGGTATAACTGAGCCGACTTCACAGGCAACGGCAGAGGTCACTTCTAATGGTTCAGGATGCTTCAAATCACGAGACCCAAACTGTTTCTGGCAGTTGAAAAAATGCTTCACAAATATTTCCCTCTTATGAAGGAAACCTGTGAAGCCTTCGTAGGTTCACCATTGATCGTAAATCACACATCCTCATGTTCTGCCCCTTGTAGAGCCTCTATCCCCGTGTGTGACAGCACCATGCACATGGCTCTGACCCCGAAGCCACCGGGCCTAAAATGCCTTTTGTCCCTGGAGCTGCAGCACATTTACTGAGCTCCTACTGTTCGACCCAACTGAGTTTAACAAGCAGATCAGGTTTTTTTTTTACGAGCGTCTGTCGACAGTATGTCTCAGATTTAGTTTTAAAGATTTAGATGGAGTTTAGTTTGCAGTGTTAGAGAAGTAACAGTAATGGATTTCAGTGCATCAAATAAAAAATGATGAATAAATACAGTTTGCAAAGCAGCTAGCCTCTCAGGCCGGATTGTATCAGGATGTGGCTTTATAAGGCAGTAATCAGTTTAAGGTTCAGGTTTTAGCCTCTATCCTGAAGAATTTAGGATGTACCAGGACCTTTCTCAGTTATTGTTTGCTTCTTTCTAATTCTGCATTCACATTCTTATATACCTCCAGGATATAGTGTGCTTTAGCACATGCAAAATCAGACTTTTCAAATGCCCTGCAGACCGCTGGCAAGTGAATTCTCTCATATGTTCAGCGATCTCCCTCAGAGGAAGTTGGCAGCAGCAGAATGCATGAGGCATGGGACATACAGAGTCGATACAGATGGCTTCCTCTCCTGTGTGTCGCTCCCGTGCCGTCACCTGTGACTGCCGATTGATTTCTCTTACCGGGTTCCTGTGAAGAAAAAGAAAGATTGCGAGTTAAGACGATGCGACCGAACAGTTAAGGAAAAACCTCCTTCTGTCGTCCTCGGAGGGCTCGCTGGCACCACTGATAAATACTTGGGTCATTCGTGAGCAAACACTCCACACGTGTTGTTAGCATCCTTCCATTATTTCACTTTTAGCTGGAGTATAAATCATTAACAGGATCAAGTAAACTTTATTTTTCTTCTCATGGAGGCGTCTGCAGTCTGTTATGGTTTGTTAACCACGGCAGCTGTTGTCTTTTGTAAGAGGCTGAATGTTTGAGTGTTTGCCAGCTGAATTCCCCCGAGTCCCCAATTCCAGAGATCATAAAAGAGCTCGTCTTTATAGATAAGAAGAGGGAGAGGGGGATGGGGCCCTCAGGCGACATCAAGGGAGAAAGGAAAGGAGGAAGGAGAACGGGGCTTTCTAACATTTAGGAATTTCCATGTTGTATATCTTATAAAGATTGACCGGGAAAGTCTTTAAAGACTTCATGTGGAGCTTTAAGATGGAACCTGTTTACTTCACACTGTTAATGGTAGCAGTAAGAAGAGGGGAGGCACATTAGTGTTTGTTGTGTTTGTCAGCAGACCATAAATAGCTATTTTTGCCCATTAATTTCCTCTGAGATTAGAAAAAGTTTAAGTAGGGAAACAAAATCGCTGCAGTCACTAGTTTCAGCTGCAGACTGAAGCTTTACACAGAACGGCTTCTCACAGCTGATTTCACAAGCAGAAACTTTTCAGTATCTTAAAAGCTTACATTTCAAAGTCAGATTTAAGTCCTGTGCTGCTGCCCCAGCTGTGAGGTTCTTCCACCGCCTCATTGACATGCATGTGGGACACATTCTGAATCTTAAAAGTGTATTTGCCGTCTCTCCCAAAGGGGCTTTTTCATCTCCTCCTTCAGGCCTCCAATCTGTGTTTTGCAGATGGTAGTTTTAGGAATACAGACAACAGTTTAAATAGGATGTAATGTGATCTTTTTTTCCCCACTAAAAGTTGTCCTCCTTCTTAACCCATGACCATAAAGAATAAGATCAATAAAATTTGATAACAATTTCTGTGAGTTGTACACTGTTTGCAAACATCCTCTATAACCCGTCCCAACTGTCACAGTTGGTCAAAATAAATAACTAATAATGGTTTTAAAAAATGGACCAATTCAAAACGTACGTAAAGGTTAAGTTCGCTTTGATTCGTTTGTATTTTTCCTGTCCAGGCGTGGCAGCTGAGATTCAGCCACCTGATTGGCTACGGGGCCAAATACTACTCATATCTCATGTCCAGGGCCGTGGCATCCATGGTGTGGAAGCAGTGCTTCGTCCAGGATCCTTTAAACAGGTAGGAACAGTGGCAGCTTCACCACAGAACTCAAATAACTGTCATTAGGCATGCAGAGTGGGATACATCGGGGAAAAAGATCTGTATATTTGTATTTTCCCATTCATATATTTCTATGCTTAATTATTTTCTGAACGCAATTACGTCTCAGTACATTCCAAATGTGTTTTAAGTGTTTCTTGGGCGGGCAACTACAACTACAGTTGTAGTTTAGAGCCTCTGGTGTCGGGGACAGCGGAAACCTGTTAAATGTGTGGAGTGCTGAGACAGAGGCCTCCTGACAGGCCGCCACGCTCAAGTGCTTCTTAAGCCTCTGTCTGACGCTGAGTGCCAGCCGTCACTGATATGAAACCTGCTCCGACCCGACAGGTGTCTGATTTGTGTCGCACCCACGTGCCCCTTACCGTTTCCTCCAGCATCACAAGTATTTGACAACAGAGTAAAAGTTTTGCTTAAAATGGAATGGAAATAGAACATGCATCTGAAATTATTTCATCCCTTTAGGGGTTCCCCCTCCCTCGTCTTTTTTTTGTTTGTTTGTTTTAGTTCCACCTGAAGTTGTCGAGTCTGTTTCCTGTCACCTGCCTCTTGTGACCAGGCAGCTCAGGAGATTTTAAACCCGGGCTGCACCTGGGGGTGGGGTGGGGTGGGGTGGGGATGGGGGGGGTGACAGGGGAGAGTCCGGGCATCTGTAACCGTATCCCCCTCTTGATGTGTGTTTCTCTCTGTGCCTGCGTGTCTTTGCCAGGGACATGGGTGAGCGTTACCGCCGGGAGATGCTGGCACACGGAGGAGCCAAAGAGCCCATGCTGATGGTGGAAGGCAAGTCCAAACTTTCTGCTGGAAATACCGACAACTGACACTGAGTCTTTTGATGTTTACTTCCAAAAGCCTTTTTTCAAAAGAACACGAAGCTCACCTTTTATGCGTGATATGGCCCCGTCCTCGAGGCAGCAGCTGCACCATCTCTGCAGCTCTCCCTCTAGGCAGATTTCACAGGTCTAGGGCATAAGTCAGCCACATGTCATTCCAGCACCTTCTTGCGGCATTAAGTTAAACTATGTCCGTCTAATTACTCCAACACTCTGCCACTAAATCATCTTAGACAGCCCGAACGCCCAACATCTTTTTCTGCTTCGCCTCTGATCATCTGAAAAAGAAATATGGCGGCAGATGATCCAGCTGCATTGTTTTGCCAGCTGTGGTTCGACACAGTCTGCACTCGCTGGCCTGTGGTGCATATTTAACAGTTAAGTACACCTCCCAAGGTTGCTTATCTTTGTTTGTGTTAGCTTTGTTAACCTAGAGACAAAGCCAGCCACCTCTGTGATGTGAAATATTAAGTCGCTCTTTATAAAACAACCCCATCTGGTTGATGTTTGCCCATGCTTCATCCGGCCTTTTTTTTTCTTTTTTTCTATTCTTTTTTTATAGGCAGAAGTTAGAAGGAGGGAGCGACAGAAATAGTTGATTATGGGTTTGAGCTGCTGACTCTGCAGGGCTGAAGCCCAGACAGAGCTTAACCACCTCAGATCAGCTGAATTTTATGCTAGCCGTGTGTTTTTTTTATCCCCGCTGGAATATGTAAAAAAAAATATCGGTTACACATAGCCATGGTTTTGAAGAAGAAATGCCTTCCGCCACGTCACACTGCGTGGCTTAATATCGCCCAGCTGCTGTCGGACAGAAATCTTGGTGAACGCACTTAGCTCGAAATATTCAAACCTTCATCCCAGGTGCCCCCACTCAAAAGATGGTCTCTTTTGATTTAGGTCCTTATCATTTAGAGTGTAAAGTTCAGCGTTGCATCGAGCACAGTTACGTTAGATGTTTTATGGTGTTTTATGGTGTTTTTTAGTTTTGAAGGGCAAATCATTATTCCAACAAACAAGAATTCAGCACGCACAGTTTAAATGATTCAGAGGTTCCTGTAAACGCACCCACCTTGGTGATTAATCGAGTGAGAGAGTCGGGAGAGTCTTTTAAGTTGCTGATGCCTCTTAACCTCCTCTCCCCGTTGGTGACTGCGCCAGTCTGCAGCTGGGCTGTTCCGTGTCAGCATTTCCTCATAAACAGCTGCAGATTCCTGTCATCGATGTAGACAATAGCACATAAATACAAGTTATGTTCGGTCAGGGAATAATCAAACTGTCGTCCCCAGATAAAAATACATGTGTTTTTATGGTGCGATATTCCCAAAGAGTTTTCCATTTCTTTATCTCCTCCTCTGACCAGTGGGCAGAGAAAAGAAGGTTTTATGATCAGATGAGACAAAGTTAGGCTTGTTTGGCCACAATGATCAGAGGTGTATTTGGAAGATCACAGATAAGAAATTCAGCCTCAAGAACACTGCACCAGCAGTGGCAGCACAGTGGTGGTGGCATCATGCTCTGGGACAGGTAGATTGTGGCATGGAGAAGGAACAATGAGGGAGGACTATTTTAGATTCCTGTAGAGGACTCATTAAAATGGAACTCATTAAAATCATGGAATGGATAAAAACAGACTGATTTTAGGGTTTAAGGAAGGCTTTCGTAGTTTACATCAGTTCTTTCAACGCCTCTGGTATTTATTTTTTTCTCTTGAAGATATCTTTTTCACAATCATTACGTTCAGCTCAAAGACAACATTGAAAGCCCTGTAATACGATTAAAGTTCACGAAGAGTTTACACCGGCCAAGTGTCGACATGTTGGTGAGGAAGGTCTTTTTAATATTATCAGCTCAGTTTGGGACAGAAGCTTAACATTTATTGTTTAATCAACACAACTTCATTTTGTTTTTGTCTTCTTTTTTTTTTCTCTTATTCCCTTTTATTCGTTTCCATATTGCAGATCCACAATGCCTCACAATAACAGGTGTAGCTCCTCATTTTAATTTGAAGCGAGGCTCTTATTCCTCCTCTTCTTCTCCTCCTCTCCTTCTGCCGCTGTGGCTTGTCTGGACAGGACAACAGAGGAGAAAGAAGGTGGGAAGGCAGTGAGACAGAGAGTGGGTAGTAATATCAGATGACATTTGGGAGTGTACAGTAAATCTTTCCCTCAGGGTCACCCCCCCCGCCCCTCCCTCCTGCCTCGGATTGTCCGTCCGATAGCTCCAAACAGGGCTGCACCTAGCCTCTGAAATTACAGCCAACCGAAGAGACCCTTGTTACAAGATCCACGATCCAATTAACTTTGGTGGAACTGTCAGGGTTTGTTTTTGGGCTCGTCTTTAGAAGTGAGAGCTACTCTAATTATAGGCCTAAGCCCCATGTGCTGAATAGTTAGAAGGCCGTTTGTATCCCTCTGGCTGTCCTTTCTTTCCATAAGTCATGGTGGGAGTGGGGCTGTAAAAATGTCTGCGCCGGGAACAAAGCTTTGCCAAAACAATTTTCATTTCCTAACAAAAAAAAAAGTCCAGATCAAATTAGAGAGCCTCTGGAACTGCTGGAAGGCAGGTCTCGTCTCGCATTTCTACAAAAAAAAAAAGATCGGAATAAAATTTTATCCCTTGTCTGGATAAAAGTTTGAGGCTCAAGCCAAGCAAAACCTCCCTGTTTTTGCCATTCAGCCCTCGCACCGTTTTAATGATTTTATATCCTTTTGATTATATAAAATAAAGTCATGAAAGCTGATGTCCGGGTTATATAAAACGACACCGAGGCAGGTGTTGAAACTTTTAGTTGTCAACTGTTCTTTGTTGAAGGGACGAGGTTCATGGCAACGCTACAGAATCCCTGCTGGGGAATGGAAAAAGATATGCGTTGAATTAGAATGGCTCTTTTATATCGCAAGCTGTATTCAGGCCACGAGACACCAGATGACTAGACGCAAGACACAGAATCCAGATATCAAGCCATTACACATAATCCTCCCAAACAAAGGCCGTTGTAAATGGAGGTGTGTATCATTTCCCCGCTGTCCTCGCCGGCGAGGTGGTCGAAGGGGCACATGCGCTCGCAGGGAACCGAAGCAGGCCCGGCGCAGCCAATCAGACGCCTCCCCGCTCACTGCTGGATGTTTCCCAGGGAAAGATGGTGTTGAAATGCAGACCCATTTATTAAATCCAGCGCACACGCATCAAGGACAAGAGAGGGAAGGGGGAAAAAAAACAACAGAAAAAGGAAGGAGAGGGTGAAAGGTGATCGACTGGCTGGGCTGGACCTCAAATCCTGCTACAGAGAAAGCTTTCATGGGCCGGGCTGTTCCCATAGCCTCAGCTGCCGAGCACAGGAAATGGATCCACTTGGTAGCCGAGTCCCAGGATCCCGTTAGGCCTTTTGTCCGGTGGCAGCTTTGACGTGGTAGCTGTGATTCCTGCTTTTGTAGTCGCCAAGAATGCTGAGAGATCACAGTGTTCTGCAGAAGTCCCACGGCACCTCCGAGACAATGATTTATACTCCTGTCTGAAGTCATGCGGAGGGTTGGAGACACCTCACAGCGAGTTGTAAAGCGGCGAAACCCATAATTACAGCTGGTACTTGGAATCTTATTTGATTTGTGATCATTCTAATCTGTTGCTCAAAGACAGACAGTTATAAATCCCATCCATCTAGTTGCGGGTGCCTCAAATTTGTCTCATAATTATTTAACGCCATTACAATTGTGTCTCTTCTATTCTTCTTAGGTAATGCTCAATAACGATTCTATTGAAAACAGAAAAAAACAACGGTTATCGCCACAAAGCGAGCAGCAAACACATTTAAAAGTCAACGCCAGCTCCACATGCTGCCGATCTGCCGTCGTCACACCTAGCCGAGCCGCCTGGTTCCATTTAAACGTTTGTCTCATAGCTCTTTTATTGCTCTGGTCCACTGTTGGCCAGAGTGGCCAAGGGGTTTGTTAACTCGCACCATAAATCAGCGTTTTGCCTCAGAAAAAGAGTTGAAACTCTGATTCGTGTATGGGACGGTGGAAAAGGAAATTCATTTAATTTATTTTCTTTTTTTTCACCGCACAGCTAAAACACAAAGAAAAAAGGATCACATGTTTCTGTAATTGTGAGCCTTTCTGCTAGGTTGTGCCTTCGTTCTGACCGTAGTCTGCATAGCTGGGCTTCACAGGTGAGCCAGCTTGAGTCTGCACTGTTAGTTTTTTTGTTTGTTTCTTTCTTTGCTTTATCATGTGGCAAAAGTTAAAACGCAAGAGGAAGAGCCTGATCGCACATGAATTATAGAACGTTTTACTCTTTTTCTTTTCGGTAGTGAGTCAGCTAAGAGCTTCCCAGTGCCGTGCTTTTCATCACCCTTGCCTTGCTTGTTTTCTGGGCCTGTCTGAAGGGTGCTTTGTAGAAAACACTTCCTGAACTTCAAAGGTGTAATTACAGAGGCAGCGAACATTTGCTTTGCCTCCAGGCCCGACAGAGGGAACAGCTTCTTAGTCCGTGACATGTTTCAAATGGCAGCCACTAAACGGCTGCTGGATTCAGGGTTTGAGGTGTGCGATCGTGTACTCTTGTCAGACACGGTTGACTTGGAATCCATGAATAATACAGTTACGGGGGAATATGACACCGCAGAGAAGGCCAGACTGAGGATCAGGTTCCTGATAGCTGCTGCTCATTCATGTAAATGTACAAATGTGTGGGTCGCTGTAATTGACCTATAAAAGCATCCAATTGAGTCATGAATGAAAGGGGGGAAAAAAACTTTCAACTACGCCTTTAAAAGTGATAGAAGGCATTTCTAGATTTCAAGATCATTTTAAAAAAGATCTAAAAATCAGTTGCTGCAAACTTTTTAAAACTCTGCTGTTAATAAGCTACACTGTTAAAGAGAGTTTTGTGACAGTGTAACTCTTTCCAAAGCTCAGATTCTTGATAAGTTCAACCAGCATTAGCTGCAGGCTGGGCTGCAGTTTGGAAGCGTTTCTGCTGAATTTCTGTCCCCAGAGCTGTCATTAGCCGCCAGCAGCCACGAAGGTCTTCATTTTGCAGATAGCCATCATCCACCACCCTTTGAGTAAATAAACAGGCTTCTCTCTGCATGCTCTGGTCCGGTGTAAAAAGGTAGAGCTGGATACACTTTTAAGTGGAGGGGGAGGGGGTATCATCCAGCAAATTACAATCTCAGGGGGACACGGCTTTAGGTGTAAAGTTGTTTTTTGCTCTCCAGCCGGACGGGCATAAGCACTCCATGCAACATAAATGGGAACGCCACAGCTTATCGTGCAAAGTCGGGGGAAGTTTAGCCAAAGAAAAGAATGTGTGATTTGACTGTTCCCACACAAGCTTTTGAAAAATTTCGCAGGGAAATGGAACGAGTGGTCTGTTTACCTCACTCAGTAAGCACTCCTGGAGTACCCTTGAGCAATGAACTCAGCTTCCAGTTGCTCCAAAGAGGCTCCAGTTCCTTATTTGTGCTTTAACACCTGCTGTTTCACCCAGAGCCTGTTGGCCAAGTTGGCTGAGGATGCAGGCTGAGATGGCCGCAATGGGAAGGAGCCCATCTCCATCAGAGGCATTATGAATGGAAATGGAAACTCTTAAGTAGGAGATGACTCACGCGGCAAAGCCTCTGTCCTAAGGCTCTCTCAACAATGGACACAAAGCCCAGCAATGTTTAATTTGGATCACTTCTTTTTTTCCTCCCAGCCCTTTGCCAAGAGTTGAGCGTACAGCTCTGCCCACAGTAACACTATCAGGTATGCTAGGGAACTGTTACAGTGTCTGTGCAGCTGAACCTCTGCGGGTGTGAGCCACCGGCTACCGGAGGAATCCAGAGATTCCAGCTGTTTCCGTGTTTCGGCCAAAACACAGTGAAAGTGCTCAACAGGAAGCAGAGCCTGGTCAGCCGTTTAATTAATGACCTCACCTGAAACCGCCTCAGCTGGCAGCATCTTTATATGAAACTATAGAGGAGTTATTGTGTTAGGGTGACCGAAACAGCTTCTCCTGTTGTAGGTATTTCCCCAAAATGAAAAAAATAATTGTACAAACCGATGATGTATTGACTATTTTCTAAAAAGAGTCCATACAAGCAGCTTCTGAGACCGGGCCTCTCTTCCACAGTTTTTGTTTAGACTGTGAGGTTATCTGCATATTCCTCTCAAACTCTACCAGGGAAAAGTGTCACTGTTCACCACTTGTTGATTCGTTCCTCCTAAGTGCTGGCGAGCGCCGACACCACTGGCTACCGGTTTATGTGCCGCCATAAAGAGACTCACCTGACTAATCGCTGCCATTAACACGGCTCCCCTTCTCTCTGTAAGCTCACTTGTGTCTCATCACTTTTGTCATGTTAACGTGTGGACACCGATTTCTTTTTTTTGTACTTTTTGTACCACACTGAGGGGATCTAAGATCCCACACATAGTAAAAAAAAAAAACAACAATAACAAAAAAAGTAATCTGAATATGTGAGTTTTTCTCGTATGCATGTGTTTTTGTTGATGCATATTCGAGCAGAGAGTTTTTTTTTTTTTATCTCTTTGGATTCCCGAATGATCCTGACCTTTTGTACCAAAGGAAAAGTCATTTTTAACAGCGTACTGTAAAGAACTGCAAGCAATGTTTGCACTCTGTTCCTCCTAAAATGCTGTTTCCTCCAATTATATAATTCTGAAGCATAATTTCGCGAGAATTCCTGGTGGGATTGCTTAAGAGACTTATTGAAACACCTTTTTGGTTGTAAAAAGACTTTCAGGATTACAGTTGGTGCACATGGATATGTAATATCTAAGCTTGATGAATTTTAAAGATGACTAGACCCAGGTGGCTTTTTCATTATTTACTTTCATTTTAGCCTGCAGTATGGGGAAGAGTACACCAGCAAACATGAATGATTTGTGTCATTTCTGCCTTTTTGGAAGTGACAAAACAACATTTTTAGGTAATAAAAATGGATGACCAAAGACAATGAAACCCAATGGACCGAAATGCAGAGTTTCAATCATAGTTTTGGTTATGGTCAAAAACGTTTCTGTCCGCAGTGGGATTTAAGGTGTCACCCAATAAAGTGGCTTGTGATATCCTCTAGGCAAAGATCCTCACTCAGCCGTTCGTAGCGCTTTATTTTCCCTGTGCAGCGGTCATCAGGTGCCGTGGAACTCAGCCAAGGTCACGGCAAAAAAGTCCTGTGGCGTTATAATTAGGGTTATTATTTATGGTTGGAAACCTGTGGCTTTCATGTGGCTGCCTTGTTCTCAGGGATCTAGAGGCCTCGTGGTTTGGGTGTGCTGTGAACCCCTGTGCCTGCATATCATCTTTTAGCCAAGGGGCAGGGTGTGATGGGGAGGTAAGGAGAGATGATAATCCCCTTTCTCTGGTGCTCTCGTGCAAGGTGGCTGTGCTTGGATTCTCCCGGTAGAGGCTGCGTTCAGGTGCCACCAGCATCAACTCCCAGGAATTTGTGCGGAGTGGGTGTTCAAATCTTGATGTGTGCCTGTGTGTTCAGTTTAGTTCAGTTCTGTTCTGTTCTGGTCATGCGTGTCAGCGCAGACATACTGGTGTGCTAGTGTGTGTGTGTGTGTGTGTGTGTGTGTGTGTGTGTGTGTGTGTGTGTG